AATATCAATTACAATTGTATTATTTGAGCAGAGTATGATTTACCTCTTATGCGTGACTTTTGAGTGTGCTCATATGTCATGTTATCAACATCTGTGGTAGTCAGGGGCGGTTTCAGATTCGTTACAATGCAGAATATAAAGCTACATTTTTAAGGAAAAAGCCAGGTTCGATGACTTTTGTTTTTCCTTATATTCGGGATGGGACAACGGTCTATTTTTCAGATGAAGTTTTGATGTTGCTATTTTTTTAAGTTCTGGACGTTTTTATCTACTTTTGATTTCCATTGGGATTTCATTACTTTTCACGGTCCAAATTTAATTGATTTCAATTTTGTGTCAATTAAAAGAATAAGAATAGGTTTAGTTAAGTCTTCAGAATTGTTTTTAGTTTGTTTACAATGTAGATTAGAGTATATTTTCGTTCTATTTGTTGATGATATTCACATGTAGTTAACAATATACGTGTGATGATCGTCAAAGTTTCAATTAGTTATTTTCGTTATTTTGAATTGAAATAAAGAAATTAGATTAGTTATTACTTTTGTTCCTTTGCCGAATCTAACCCCTGCTGTGCATAGAAGTGCCTCAATGTTGTGTCCAACTTCAAACATTTTCCAAATTCTATTTTCTCAGATTAATTCAATTTTATTTGAATATCTTGGCAACCCAGTAAATCCAAATCAAATCTCATAGACCTATTACAAAACATTTTAGGCAGTAAAAAGTAGAGTGAACGAAGCCACCCATCTTCCCCTAAAAATTTACTGTTTCGCCTCGTATTCCAAGAATGTTGCTTTGTCTGTTTAAATGTGATATTGAAGTTTGTTATAAAGCAGGAAAATGTCTCTACATTTCGGACACACTTTCAATGAAGACTTTTCTTCAATGAATCTGAACTCAAATCTGATTGTGATTTGGAATCTATCGTATATTCTTTAACAAATTGTTCGCCTATGTCTTCTGAACAAAAACATCAATTTTTGAATTATACAAAATCAGACCGTGACTTGAGTTGATCATTGATTATCATTTCAATGAATGGCCTAATGATAAAGGAACATGTCTACATTTGCTCAGTCAGTTATTGACTTCTTTACTTAGAAAATAAATTTATTTATGTAATGAAATGCTCACTTTAATTCATGAGGGACATTTTGGCATGAAAAAATCAAAATCACGAACTCGCCAAATTTTTATTATGATTTTGTAGCCCTGCCATTTTAGTTTAGTTTTAGAATGCACTCTACCGAGCTGCAGGTAGAAAAAATCCCATCTCAGAGCTGAACAACAGGAAGACAGTCCATCTCGTCCTCCTGGATATTTCGAAGGCCTTCGACCGAGTCTGGCACGAAGGCCTGCTACACAAAATGCTCGATTTCAATCTGCCTCGGAGCCTGGATTGCCCCAGGGAGCTGAGCTGTCTCCACTACTATAGGTTCAGCCTTTACGTGAGCGACCTTCCGAGGTTCGACCACGTGAAGGTTTCCCTTTACACCGATGACACGGCTCCCTTCGCCTCTTCCATGGGTCGGACGTTGGCGGTCGTCAACATGCAACGCGTATTGGACGACCTCGAACGCTGGTACCTTGACTGGAAGATCCGGGTGAATACAGAAAAAACTCAGGCGATAGATTTGGGGAGAGGTAACGTTTCTCCAGACACAAGAGTCGCCATCTCAGGCAGGGAGATCGAATGGCAAACGCGTCTCGTCAACAGACACTCAAGGCTCAATCTTAGAAATAAGATTTTATTATACAACACACGATGTTCAAGCCTTTCATCATGTATGCTTCAGGTGCTTGGGGATAAACAGCCCCGTCAAACCTTTCCATTTTGGATGCTGCTGAATGCTCCGTGGTTCGTACGGAATGAAGCCATCCGCAAAGATTTGAAGCTGTTAACTATACAGTCGAGGAATCAGAGAGTTTTCGAGTCAGCGGAAACTCATGATAAACTATTAGTTAGGGAAGCTGCAGATTACACTATAGACGACCCCACTCGATTCACAAGGCCCCGTTGTCGGTTGAGTGAAGGCCCCACGACGTCTATTAAAACGAACAGCTTGTTCATCAAGTATCCCAGTCAGGAAGGGGTACACAAGGCCAGAGCGACATAAAGGTCATTGACTTTTATGTCGCCACCCAAACACCTTCAGTTATAAACCATTCGTCCTCCTGACGAACCTCAGTTGAAAGGGTAAGGGAATAATTTCCAACCTGATAAAAATGAGATGCTTGAGAAAGCAGTTTCATAAGCTTAAAATGAATCACACGTTAAAAGGTAAGACCTCGTTAATCCTTAGCTCGCACAAGTTTCGACTTCTGAGGGTTGTCGTTCGTAGGGGTGCGACAGCTGGTTAACGGAAAAACAGATTTTAAAACAGATTTTAAATAGAAATGCATCTCTCTAGCACATAAATCACATTCTTTCTCAATTACAAATGACTTTTGTGTAAAACCAAAATTCCAATGTCTGCTAAATTACTTTAACCTTCACTTTGTGGAAATGTTCAACAAAAACTCATTGAAAAACAAAATATTAGTCTGCATTACTTCATATATAAGTTGGAAACATGAAACCTTTGAAAGCCCATGCAAATGAAAGTGTATGTGATATATAATATTTGGGAAACTAGCAAAATTAATTAACCACTAGTTTCCCTAGATTATATGAAGTACTAACAGAAGGGAATATGGTTAGAAGAAACAGAAATAACTGGGAGAAGTTATCAAATGAATATGAAGAAACGAACATTAATTAATATAACATCCAATCAGTTTTTCCGTTAACCGGGTATACACCGTTGTTTCGAGTCCCAATGAATACCCATCGGATAATATAATTAGCTCTTAGAATGATGTGAACGACAATGAGAGGTCGACTTATCTGCATTGAGATTACACAGACTTTCTACATGTGGTTTAGTATGTCTACTTATCATTATAAGGGTGAACCTAAACTACTACTCATATGAATTCACCCTATGTAATCAGGTCAGACAGGGCAGTTAGACCTGTCAGACTTTCTTTATAGTTGTTAGCACTGTTTGGAACCTTTGGTGTAGTAATGAATATTACTGGAGTTTTTTTCCCAACACCAAATCGTTATTTTTAACACCTCGATACGTGTTTCGATCACCAAGTGATCATCTTCAAAGAGGAAGATTAAACTGTTTTAATTTTTAATCTTCCTTTTTAAAAATGATCACTTGGTGATCGAAACACGTGTCGAGGTGTTAAATTCGCAATATAATCCACTCCCTGAAACCTCATAAATCTCCCGGAATAGATTTAATAAAAGCTGAGACATTGCAAAAGATCGCAAGAGAAATAGCTCCACTCTTATGTCACCTGATAAACAAAATAATAATAGAAGGAGTATGTCCGTCACAATTAAAAATTGCTAGTATAAAGCCCATTCATAAAAAGGGANACATTGTAGAGTTTTCCACTAATAGCTTTCTATGAAAGCAAAGAAATCATGTTAATCTCACTTAGTCGAGAAACCGCACATAATAACCTCAAGATAAGTGAATAAAATCAACATTAATCCCTACGGACAAGATTATCTTTTGTAGGGTTTTTGTTTATTTCTTGTAATTTCTTTATTTTTTGTAAATTTCCAATGTAACCATTGCCTTTCATGAAATAAATTGATTGATTGATTGATTTGAAGTTGTTCGTTATTGATGTTACATCAGAATGATATTGAATAAAAACAGTACCTACTTATCATTCACAACTAAATTGAATTGCTCAACCGATTTGGGTACGGTTTTCACTAATGTACAGTGGGAAGCTTTATTTAATATTCAGTGCCTGAATAAATAATCACATCAATATTTATTGAAAAAACTACTTTAAGATTCAGGGGTTATTTCCTATGAAATAAACAAGTGGTAGATTCTCAGTAAAAACTATTTGAAATGTATTGTTGCTTTTTATTTTTCCAAACTTATGTATTCAAAACCCAAAATGCAATTTAAAAAAAATTTAATTCAAGATTTACATTTATTTCCAGCAGCAGAAAGAATTTATCTTCTTAGGGACGCTGCAAACTTGTTTAGTTGGAGTAAATTTGATTTTTCTTGTTTTACCTTTGTTTACAGACTTCGAAAAAAATAAAAAGTTATCATTAGTTTTGACTAAGAATTCATCACTTCCATATTTTGAAAATTTACACATTGCCTGTCCATATAGTAGGTATACTTCTAGATTTTTAAATATATTTGAAAATGTGATTGTCAACATGTGTTTTGTGTTATCAGGATAAGACTAAAAAAATCTTTCTTAGTCAATATAAACTGTACATTTCTGCCAAGTTTTATCAAATTCTGTGATAGTTTGACTTTTGTTAAATACTTACAGTTTGTATAATTTTTTTGTTTTATAATTTGAGTGTAGAATTTTGATTATCTGTGTGTTTGTGAGCGCTAATCTCAAAATTGGCTTAATTAACCAACTTGGGTACAATTCTTACTGATGTATTTATGCTTCACTCAACATTTGGTGTTTGATTTATTTCAATTCATTGATGAATATACAAATAATCACGCCATACAATGTTGAAAAAAAAAAACTATAAAAATAATGTTGTCCATTTGACTGAAACTTTGGTCAACTGTAATGTTTGTTGAATAATTTTCTCATAAATCAAAAAGTTTTTGCTACAAGAAAATCTGGGAGAACCCAAAAATGAATTCCAAGTGAATGACATTGCAGGTATAAGCTAGTCTACAATATTTTTCAGATCTACTCTACAAATATTTTTGGCTAATAAAAATACTAATAAAGACTTCTAACTTTTATATGATCACCACGAGGTATAATAACCAGATAAATCTATTCTGCAAAATATTTTTATAATCAAATTCAAAATGCTGATGCTTGAAAGTAATATGGATTTTTTTTAATTTATGTTATTAATTCCAAACACCTGAGAGAAATATCAAGATGTTAAGATGCACACCTTCTAATTGCTATAATGAATTAACAATACATTTGATTTCTGAATTATTTATTCACTTACATATATCTAAAGAGAAAACCAAAATAAGATATTACTATATTGGGTGATATTACATTTTTTTAAATTACCTTGGATTGCAATTCAGAATATTAATTTACAAATTTTTCTTATAATATTACAGAATCAAGTCCTCTCACTTCCTTTGGATTATTTATTTCAGCTTCAATTTTTATGTCATTAATTCTCAAATATGTTTGAGGTATTCTGTAAAAGTTGATTCTCATATATTGTTTCCTCCTTTTTTTCTTGAAATGCGTTTTAGTATGTGATAAGGTTTTTTCTATAACTGTGGCATTAACTTGAATTAGACCTTTCTGCACAATAGGTCTACCAATTAAGGTAAAATCTTGAGATCCCGCTAATAAAACTTTATCCAAAGTTATTTTATCGCCAATTTCAGGAGGCCAATATCCTTCAACAACAATTACATCTCCATTTGTTATTTTGAATTGTTTGCCAGCTACATGCACTACAGCATAAATTCTTCCTTGTTTGTTATCATTCGTGAGATTTTTCACAGTGTTAATAATGTACTCATTTGATTTTTTTTCATTCAAATCATTAATAATTTCATAAGGTGTTGGCACATTCGAATAAAATTTATTGTGAGAGTCAACTGTCGACACACATGGCATCAATTTGTTTCTAATATATTGAGATTGGTAATTGAACCTGAAAACTTTCGGTAATAAATCTTTAAAGATAAATGCCATTTTTTTTAGGTTAATTTTCAATGTGATTTTGTGATGTGATAAATGAAACTTCAAGTTTATCGTCGAGATACGACATCTATCGGACATATTGAAACTAAACCAGATGGTAAAACAAAAAGTTCTGTTAGCTGTTTACATATATTGTTACGGTTTATTGTCCTTCCCGGTTTAATTGTCCTATGGATACCACCACAATTAATAACTCAAAACACATAAATATCCCAAAACAATAAACAAAACTTATCTTCTTAAACACTTTCTCTCTCTTTCTCTTAGGTGTTTTCTGGCGCTCATGTATTCAAATCGTATTCGTCTGTGATTCAAATACATTCATCCTGGCGTCGGCGTCGATACGATGACGTCACATCAACTATGATTTGAAACGTATTCATCATGATTCAAATCTGGCATTTAAGCGTGTATTCAAAAACGATTCGTAGTGATATCATTAATTATAAGACTCTCCAGAATGGAATGATTCAATTTGTCAGTTGTCACATTCAATAATAAAAACAAACTTTTCAATTTTCTCTAACCTCAATTAGAATCGGATTTGTGCATACAATAATTTCCCAGCTTTATTTTGTACATCCTTACAATGTATTTCATAAAAAGTTTTCAGTACTTTATAAACTATAATGAATAAAATAAAACAGAAACAGATGTAACATAACGTCAAATTTCGTTTCAAAACCAACCTCACGCTAGTTTTGAATCATCATGAATACGTTTCAAATAATAGTTGATGTGACGTCATCGTTTCAACGCCAAAATAAATGTATTTGCGTCACGAATGTTTTGAATACATAAGCGCCAGAAAACGCCTCAAAACTAGTGTGAGGTTGGTTTTGAAACAGAATTTGACATTACATCATGTCAGTTGTCGGCACAGACCATGGTCTGTGGTTGTTGGTTTCTACTTTATTTTGATTGTTGGTGGTTGCTGCTTTATTTTGATCATCGACATAACCTTAACCTTATAGGTTATGTCGGTGGTTATAATTTATAAAGTGTTGAAAACTTGCACAGATCCGATTATAATTGAGTTACAGAAAATTGAAAAGTTTGTTTTTATTATTGAATTTGACACAAATTGAATCATTCCATTCTGACGAATTTTATTATTGATGACGTAACTACTTAGTCTTTGAATACACGCTCGAATACGGTTAAATGCCCGAAAACACCTCTGTTTTGTTGGCCATTGCTTCCAGGCAAACGCATTTGGACAGTTCTCCAAGTATTTTTAACGAAACTTCAAGCTAGTGAAGAGTATGTCCTTCGCTGCTATTCAAAATGGCTTGACAGGTTCCTTTGAGGTATTGCCTGCCAGGCGGTTTGAAGTGCCTCAAACAGCTCTAGGCGATTCTGAAAGTTGCCACGGCCTCTTATCACCCTCTTCTGGTGCATACCCCATGCAAACCATATTGAGTTGAGATGTGGTAATTGTGCAGGCCCTGGTAATACATCTATTTCACTACCTTGCAGGGACTGGTTAAACGATCTCGCAACGTGTGGTCGTGCATCAGGATAAAATTGTCACCAACTGCTCCAGCGTATGGAAGGACAACAGGTCGAAGTGATTGGCGAACATAAATGTGGGCGTTTGAAAAGCTTCTTAATAAACGAGGTCTGTTTTTCCTCCAAAAATTATCCCGACCCATACCACAATCCTTCCTCCTCTGTAAGAATGTACTTCCTGAACATTTGCCAGTCTCGCTTCATTGCCTGGTCTTCTCCAGACTCTAACTCTTCTTGAATCCGGAGATAGTCCAAATCGACATAACTTCATTCCCTGGTGATATACTCCTCAATCCACACTATACCTCTATATAGAGGTTGAACTCTGAGCAGCCATCGAGACCTTAAACCGTCCTCACGCAATTGATTTACCACCGTTCGTGAAGAAAAATTCACATTGTGAGTCTGTTGGAGTTGAATTTAGAGATCTTGTGACGTTACGGTAGGGTTTCTTCTTGCAGATGAATGTAAAAAACGGTCTTGCACTGGGTTGGTTTCGCAATGCTGGCCAGTAAAACTATCGGTTCCGTTTTCGGTTTCACGATACCGTGCGTTTGATCGGGATATAACATTTTCGGTGGTACTTAACTCGTTCGCAACATCCACCTGACGCATTTCTGGTTGAAACATCCCCACATCCCCTAATATTTTATCACACGACAAATGATGCCTTTCTGCCATTATTTAATTTATTATTCGATTGAAATTCGAAACGAAACCTGAACATTATCACTGGTTTTTTAAGGACAAAACACAAGCACTACAGGAAAATTCTTAAGACGCTCTAAGAGCGGTGCCAGTGCGGAAGTAGTTGTATTTGAATCGCTGGGAATTAAATCCATTTGGAAAAACGTGCTCAGGAAGTTCATTACACAAACGCAGTTCTCCAAATGAAAGAGTTCCTAAACAGTGAAATTCGAGGTATGCTGAATTGAACCTCAAAATGATGAGCAGCCACAGTCCGTCACGTATTTCTGATATGTACGGCTCTTGGTGGAATCAAATGTGCCAAGTCACTTGAACACTTCTCGCGAAAGAATCTATAGAAGAGAGATACTTCCTCAACCTTTCTTCAATGTTCCGGACTATGAAGGTTGTAAGTGATGTTCACTTCTCCAATCAGGCGAATGACTGTTTTCTGGAGGGAATCCAGCAGCTTCTGGGTATGCTTAGGGCGGAGCTCCATACATGATAACAATACTCCAAAGAAGGTCTGATCTGAGTATTGTTCTCATGTATGGAGCTCCGTGTTTAAAACACAACATGATTATTATTCTTTTTCAATAAATAAACAAACGAAAAAGGTCATATAACTGCTTATCTGAAAACAAAGACTGACTGAATTATACAAAATAAACAGGAAGCAAATGTTTTCGCTTTCTATTGATCGGTGTTGACGATACTTTGTATTACTGGGCATGGTTTTTGACAGCTCTTCCTCAATAACTCTTTACATTTTTCTTACATACTGGATTTCGATGTTGAGTTCTTCCAAACGAGTTTTCCATTATAGGAATGTAGGTTTTCCATTGTCGGTCTTGTGAATAAAATAGGGTTGTAGTCCGATGACCCTTCGGCAAGAATGTTCATTTCTGAGGTGGCGATGTTCTGCACTATGGCGTGGTCGAGTATATAGGGAACGTGATCCACTCAGGGGTAGTGTATTGGAGCCTTCGGGAAAATGACCACGGTGTCCTCAATGTCCACTAGGAGCATGGCAAGCTCCTGGTCTTTCTGGTTTTCGTTCCTACGCTACGGTTCCATTCGCGAGATTCCGTATTGAAATCGCTAATGACCACTGTTGGGTGGTGGTCGGATTGTGGTTGAATAGTTTCAACTATGAGTACCGTTTGTCGACAGTAACTCCAAATGACCTTGACTTCAACGCCATAATAGAGCTTTTAGTAATGTATCCTCCTTTGTCACGTACAGGGTTTGTATAGACAACCCTGAATATATCTTCTTGCTTGAATACAGCTTGTATAGGTGTGTCCATTCAATAAAAATTTGGGTGATCGATTAGCTTGCTTCGCTTGACAAGCGTTCGATAATGCAAATTTATTGTCTAAGTTACATTTGCTCTGTGTTCGGTATTTACGAGAACAGAGAAAAAAATGTGATCAGTTATCTCTGAGATTATCGTTAGGAGCAGATTTTTCAGTTGTCATATTTAGAAAAACATAGTTGAGTCAGAGGAAACTTGTTGCCTCTTGGTAAAATTTTTGACACTTGTTTATCAGCACATCTTCAGAAAAGAGTTCATGACACATTTTTAGTCAGATAGAATCGAGCGCTCGTTCAATATATTTCGCTCCGTTGACTCTGTGATCATTTGGTATCAAATCAGCATCTACGGTCGACATTGACACAGTATTTTACATTGACATAGACAACACTGAAAATTTGAATATTAGGTTATGTTTTATAATTTTGTTTTTATACACCAATTCTATCAATTTTCAAAGATAATGAAATTATCTAATTATAAATACTACATACTTACGTTTTAGGATTTAGCGCATTAGGTTTGTATATAGCGGTATCATTTTCGAAAAATCTAATCTGTAACCACAAATTTTTAGTGATTTTGAATAACGATGACTAGTGGGAGTATGTTTTCAACTTGGTGATCCTAAAATTTGTATTCTGTCCACAAAATGGATCAGTCGCCTCCTTCTAAGCCACCAAGAGGGGTGAAGGCTGCTAAAGAAACTGTAATTATTATTTTCATTTATAGAGGTGAAATATAAATTATCCCTAATATAATAATTTTATAGAGTGGTCTATTAATGTCAGTAATTCGAACTCTATCAGCTAGCGAAACTAATGAGCAAAGAGACAGAGAGAAAGCAAAATTAGAGAATTATTATAAGATATGTGATCAAAGAGTTGATCAGCTTGTTTCCAAACATGGGAAGGACCTTTCCAAGGTATGAAATCAAATTTGATATTCAGTAACTATATGTAGATATTAAAATTATTCAATTTGAAAGGAGTATATCCTTCCGAAGGACAGAAGAAAGCAATTTTCCACATTTTATGTATAAAGATGGAGAAACAGGAAGCCAAAGTTTTCAATTAAATAAGATACCTATAGCTGGTATTGAATTAAATAAGCCAACAAATAACAAATGTCATTTCATACTGTCGTGACCTGAGCAGATTTAACTTATACATGACATATCCGTTGCAGTGTTATGAATGATTGAGTGCTTCATCTTGTAATGTTATCCAGATTAGTGCTAAAGAGGCAATAAGACGAGTGTCTTATTCTGAAACATCAATGTCTAATTTACAGCCTTCCTGAAGCATTGTAAAGACTTTATTTCTGTAACATTCTTTGGCAAGAGATTGAACATTTTACAACCATTATAGATAATGGAATCCTTTATGACTGATTCCGTTGGTATTGGCAACTTGATGTTGAATTGCCTTGAAATTTGTTCGAATATTTCTTAATTAAACACACTGTTTCCACTATAAAGAGAGAAACCACTGTTAGAATTCCATGAGTGGTAAAGAATAATCTACAAGAGTCTGTACTTTTTGATTTGCACATATATCTTATGGCTCGTTTTTGCAAAATTAAAATATTTTGTAGTAGATAACCACTACATACGCTCCAAAATGGAATTCCATATCTCAGGTGAGATTCCATCAGAGAAAAATAAACAGTCTTAGCTGATGTTAAACCAAGTTCATTTGGGACTACTCTGACATAACCAGACGACACTTTATTATATGTTTTCAAATTTTAGTTTTTTATCAATATGTACTCCTAAAAATTTTAAGCTACTTTTGTTCTCAATAATGTATTTCCCAAAAGTTATATTGTCGAATTCACATCTGAAAGGTACTATGTTAGTTCTTGAAATATTTAAAGACAGGCAATTTGAATTACACCAACTCTTTACTTTCATCATATCGATGGATATGATTTTAGTTAAAAGCAAATATTGTGAATTTTCCTGAGATATTTATACTTGTCAAATCGTTGAGGTAGATGAGAAACAATGTTGGCTCTAGTATTGAACCTTGAGGCATACCATTACGTATTTTCCCAAATTCTGAGCGATGGGTTGTTTCCACCATCTGACTACGACCTAACAAATATGAGCTGAACCAGCTCAGTATCACTCCTCTGAAAGGTTACTGTTTGCTGATGATTTAAAGTTATTTCGCTAATTCAATCCATAGATGATTGTCTAAGACTTCAGTAAGTGTCAGTTCATTATTTGTTTCAATATCTCTCAATCACCTATTACCTACGAAAACTGCATTAACTCCTTCCCAAACATTGAGATCCAGACAATTGTTCTCACACCATTCATACAAATAATTCAAATCATCTTGAAGTCTTAGACAATCATCTACGAATTGAATTAGCGATATAACTTGAAATCATCAGCAAACAGTAATCCTTTAGAGTCGGTTATTTGGTCAATAAGTTCATCGACAAAAATATTGAAAGGCAATGGTCCACAATGACTGCCTTGAGGAACCCCAGATGAAACATCTATTGTTTGAGAAATATAATTGTTAATTTTCACGCGCTGAATTCTCCCTTTCAAAAAGTTTTCAACCCACGATGGCCTAGTACCACTCAATCCAAAAGATTCAAGTTTATTTAGTAATATATTATGGTTGACCCTATCAAATGCCTTTGAAAAATCTGTATATATTGAATGGACCTGACCACGCATGCAATATATCCTTGTGATATAATAACAAATTCGTCACTGTGTACTTACATTTTGAAAAGCCATGTTGTTGATTAGTTAGACTGCTAGAGCAGTACCAAGAAAGTTGTTTTGTTACGAAACAATCAAATATTTTGGAGATGACTGATGGAATACTACAACTTTTATAGTTTTTTACATTACATCTGTCTCCTGGTTTGTGAATGGGTCTGATGAAACTTTTTCCAAAACACAGGAAAGTCACCAGAATCTAGAGATAAATTAAATCTGTTTAAAAAAAAAATCTGTTTAAAATCTGTTATAATGGCGTACTTAAGGGACAAACACATTTCTTAAGTAAAAATGATGGAACACCATCTGGCCCAGAACTGAAATTGTTTTTGAGCTTATTCATTTCGACAATGTTGTCCTCAACTTCATGATATAACCATGTTTCTGATATAGCAAAAAAATATAGATTTTTGAACGTTATCAAATGCTTTGACATTGATTTTTGGAGACCAAGGGACATATGTTTATATGAGTAACAAAAATCGACATTGGAAAGGTATTCTATAAGAATTAAAAAAAAACTATTAGTAGTTCTAAATGAATAATATAAACATTTTTTTGGTTGTTTGACTGCCTCCTCTTCTTCGCGTGTTTGAAATATTACTAGCAATTGATGAAACACTGCTACTAAGATAGAATGAAGTTGAATTGCCTGTAAATGTAGAATTAGAAAGTTCTTTTAATGGAATTTCCTAAATACTTTGCGGCATTCCGTAGATTATGAGAAAATTTGGTTTTATAGTGAGTGTTTGATCCCTCTGTCTTGCAAGTTTATGATATTGAAACAACTTTTTTTTCTTCTGATAAACTTCAGCTGAGCTGACTACTCAGCACTATGAACCCTCAGAAGTCGAAACTTCCTGCTTCATTATATTTAAGAAAGATTTAACAATACCCCAAAGGACTCCGTACTGATCTTATGGAAAAACGGTTTCGGTGAAAATCGCTGAAATTTCAATATGATATAGCCCATGCCATTCTGAACAAAAGTTACCATTGCGCCAACTCTCTGAATGCCGGCGTTTGGATTCTACAGGGGGTCAAAATAACATTTCGTTGTCTTTTTATGTTCTGTGATATAATTCCACCGGAACATGGTTATAGATATATAACGAAAAAAGAACTTATGATATTCCTTTGTTAATTGCGTTAAGCAATATTTAAAGTGAGAATGTATTTGATGCAGACTCGTTTCATCGAATATCGGCTCTGTAGACATCGATAGAGAATCAGTTTGAAAAAACTCAGAAGACATGAGGGGATGGTTTGATGAAGGTGACATTTTTGTTGTGGATCGGGATTATCGAGATGCCATACCCTTACTGAATGACCTTGACATACGATATGCAATACTTGCGATTGTTCCACGAGGACAACAACAGCTTTCCACTGAGGAAGCAAATAAATCTCGATTAGTGACGAAAACTAGATGGATAGTTGAAGCAATAAATGGACATTTGCAGAATATGTTCAAGTTTTTTGCCTAAATGATCGAAATACCACACGTCAACAATCTTAGCGATCTATATCAAATCGCTGGTGCAGTCATCAACAGCTTCCAACCCCCAGTCTCAATGAGAGGTGCCAATGCTCAGCTGGCACAAGAATTACAGGAGGTAAATGTCGTCCAGGCTCGAGTGGAAGTGGACATTCTTCATCTGAGAAATGGTCAATGGGTCCGTATGAATGGAAACCTGATTCCAAACTTTCCACGCCTTACGATAGATTATCTGAGAGATTCGATCGTTGGTATATACCAGGTTCAATTTTCAACTTCGTATATACAGGATAAATTGCAGAGGGAAGAAAATGAAAAGTTTTAGGTCGATATTTTCGAAAAGGAACCTGGATTCATGAGNTAGATGAGTCATTCTTGATCAAAAAGTTCCACAGTGCCTACTTCGCGAATGCCACGGATTAAATTATACAGGGATTTGAAGTATAGTTTTGAAGATGTTAATTAGAACTTTTCAATATCCACAATTCCACCACCAACACAAGCGGATGGTTCAATTGCAACAACAGCCATAGATAAAGCAAATCTACTAGCTGTACAATTCGCGTCCCACTCCACAGTCCAAGTGTTTCCTACCTGAATTTTCGTATTCTAGCTTTCCACATTAGCTCCTCATTGCCAAAACGTCAAGAAATTGAAGTTTTTTTATTTTCTAAATCATTCGTGAATTGTATTGATGGAAATCTGTTATTTGAAAAGGGAAAAAGTCCTCAATATTCGATTTTTTGTTATCGAATATCGTAGAAACATCATCCACATACCTCGGCCATATCCTAGGAAAATACTTTGACTTTTTTTTGGTTTCCATTTCGAATTTGCTCATCAACAGGTTTGCCAGGTAGGGGGACAAGGGGTTACCCATAGCCGTTCCCTCCTGTTGTTTATAAAAGCAACCTTTCATCAAACTTTCGTGCCAAAAAATATCTATTTTTCGTCAGGACAATTTTTTCATTGACAATGTTAAATTTACGTACGCTTTTTTCAACAACAACATCATAACAACAACAATTCAACGATAATTAAATCAAGAAAATGAATAAATAACTCAAAACTAATCAAATATTTAACATTTCTCCCCCCGATAGAAGAATCAACTCAGTCTTTCAGTTCCAGTTTGCAGATCTTAGTTACTGGCCATCGATATTCTGAATACGCTGTCTTGACGTCTACCACTCTAACTCGGCCGTCTGTACCTGGATGCACACCTACGACTTTTCCAAATTTTCAATTAAATCGTGGAGCTAAATCGTCGATCACAACTACTATGCGATGGGTTTGCTATCATTGGTCCACTTATTCATTTTCGTCAGACGTGGAAGATATTCTTTCACCCATCTGTCCCAAAACGTGTCAACCAACATTCGAGATTTTCTCCATTCGCGCCTCAATCCATTAGCATCAGGGTTTATTGGAAGTAATGTAGGCTCGTGCGTGGTATTGGAATATCCCAACAAAAAATGCACGGGAGTAAGGGCTTCTAAATATAACGGATCGCAGGAAACTTTTGTCAGCGGCCTACAATTTACTATGGAATGTGCTTTCGAAAAAAGTGTATGTAATGTTTCCTCCCTTAATGATTGACCAAGAAGAGTCTTTCTTACAACTCTTTTCACACTTCCAATTAACCTTTTCCATATTCCTGCCATGTGTGGGGAAGCCGGAGGTAGGAATGTAAAGTCGATGCCTTTCGAAGACATTGGTTATTTTATTGAAGGTATGTCAATGTTTTGCAAAGCTTCTTTTATTTCTCTGGATGCGCCTCTCAAATTAGTTCCATTGACGCAATAGATTGCTCGAGGACGTTATGGTGGAATCACTATTCAATGTATGCGCTACTTCAAGATGAATTGCCCTCACTGCTAGGCAGGTGTGATTGAACTCTTCATGAAAATGTTGAATCAGCAAGCTGGTGTAGCGATATTTCGGACTCAAGTTCACTGGATGTCTCGTGGATTTTTGCATATAAGTTCCCAAATTAGCCCTTCCACCAAGAATTAAAAAAACCATTTTTCAAAGTCGGAAAGAAACCCGCCAAATTACTTCGTCTATCGATGGGTTTTCCAAATCCCAAATTTTGAATATCTCTGGGTTTTCCAAATCCAAAATTTTGAATATCTCTGGGTAAACAAACTCTTTGAGAATTCTTTATGCAAAATTTATCTGCTTCTTCCAATTCGTCATTTGTGAGTACTTCTGATATTCAAGTTTTCTTCAAGTTATTGATGAATCTTAAACACCAAGTTGTTGCTCGAATGAACCATAACCAATTCGAAAATCTATTCTATTTCAATAATGACGAATTCATCAATTTCGTTATTATTGAAATTATTTTTCTCTAGTAATTCCCTGAGGTATTGTCTATGGAATTGTTAGTTCTTTATTTCCTAACGTCCCAATTCCACAGACCTTACAATACCTCAGTTGAGACAGGACGAATTTTTTGTCTTTACCAGGAACTTGCTTTGTTACTCTTCTTGTTAATGGCCAGTCCAACCGTCTCATCACCAATGAGAACCACCTCTCCAAGAACAACTGGTCGGTATGGTTTCTGGTACTTTAAAAATAAAAACAATAAGTATATTTTAATGGTGGACCTTTCCAAGGNAATGGAAAAAAATTAAATGCTCACAAACAAGAAGTTACTGCCGAGATACTCATAATTATAAAAGGCCTTGGTCAAATAATTTGAAAACTATTTTTAGTCTATTTCTTTCAAGATTTTTCACATGTGTTGGCAGTTTATTAAAGATTTCAGCATAATGTAATATACAGCTTGTCAAATCTAGGAAGAGACTTGAGAATTTCTGCTCTTTCTCTCTCTCGCTCGCACCGTCTTCTAACGAAGGCGCATCAAGTGGTCGGGGCTATGTGGAAATTCAGAAAGCTATTCCTACATTTGATAAGCTGTACTATTTCTAGATTTCTGCCACGTCACGACTTATTCTTATTTCTTCTTTTTTTTTCTTGTGTTGTGTTCCCGGAATCTTTTTCAATGGAATAATTGAAGTGACAACTGAAACTAATCACAATTGAATATCGTAACCATATAGTACTCCAAAATAAAACCAGATATTGTAATAGATTTTTGGTAAATAGTATTAGATATCCGAAAAAATGTTGTTCTTTGGAACTTTGAAACCGCATTTATTACCATTACTAAATTGATGGATGTAGTTACTACGTGATAGGAGATCATCATGAAAAATGAGAAGTAAAATTTTCTTGTTTTTCATGACNACCTTACTGTAGTTTCGTCCTACCTATAAGGACATTTTCTGACGAATACAAAACAATTACTGTATTCGTTTGAAAATGTCCTTATACGGCGAAGCTGCAGTGACGTTATTTACAAATACAAGTGGTAAAAAAAATAGAAAGTTTCATTTCTCGTTTTACATTACCATTACTGTTCATTTTGATACGTGGCTACCAAATTCTTTTGCTCCCTATCAACAATGTTTTTCGGTATGGCTTGGCGGTAATTGCAGTTTTTTAAGTAAAAGTTGAATTACATTTCAAAGTATCTTCGTCACATTGAACTGTCTGGAATTAATTGGGGATAAAATAATAATTTTGAGAAAATTTACACTAATATATTTTTTGTTGTAAGGTTATGAATTTATTTGGATCCATTTCTCAAATCGTCATCTCAAACAGAGAAAGAATAAAAAAAGTTAAGGAACATCTTCAAGATTGTAAAAAAAAGCTGAGGTGCAGAAAAGATGAGCTGAAAAATTTATGGGTAGAAGGTTTGGAATACAAATATATGCTACAACTAGTGGATGAAATGTAAGTTTTCCATCAGTTTGTGATCGTGTACATTCTGTTCATTTATGAAAACTTATTAACCTCACAATTAGTGTACATTTTGGATTGTGTATGAAAATTTTGATGTTACTCGCAAAATCAACTGTTTCAGAACACTCTGAAGTTCAATTGTAAAATGTACTTTCAATAGTTTTGGACCATAAAAGAACTTTTTAATTTTTGTGAAAACTGAAAGAAATTACTTATTCCTGTGGTTGATTATCACTATAATACAAAGCAGCATAACTTGGCACCGTTATTCAAATAATAAATTTCGTTAATCGCCAATCCGTTACTAAAGAACTTAACTTCGTTATCCGTTTAAGAGTTATCTAAGGGACGATTCAATGCAAGTTTACTTTGATGGTTAATCCGTTTAACTCCGATATTTTTTAGCCTGATTACTGCACCTAGTGCCGTCGCTATCGTCATTATTATCGGAAGAGCGATTTTCTACTTTGGCTTAACCCGGTTAGACCCCGGTTAGATCGTCTCTTAAAATAGTAGGTATTGGGACTCTTCTTATGTGTTGTTTAAGATTGTTGAGGCTCTGTGTATGAGCTTTTATTTTTGTTTGTTTAGGTAAGTCTATTTCACACTCAAAAAGTATTTGTTCTCTCGATCTGGATACAAAATTAACATAATCACTCAAATGTGGCCACGGATTTTCGTCCGTAGTAGAACTGGATTCCGATTCCATGAAATGGTTTTGATTTGCACAGTACACTGTTTGTACAGTGATATTACACTTCACGGACGTGAACTATCACGGACAGTACACAAAATCCAAAAAGTACTTAGTATTTGTATATTTAACAAAAAAATAAACAAAGCACTCGTTAGTCTAAACGCCGGCGCTAAGTAATAGAAACGATCAAACGAATCATAACATCAATCAAATTTCTTCGCAGAATTCTTTTCTCACTCACACGCGCCGGCAAGACATACAGTTTCACGTCCGTTTCACTCGCTGCACGCTTGGCGCCGCACACAGCCCGAACAAACTTGTCACAACGTGTTTTTCACGACGGCGCCTCGCTTGAAAAACAGTAGGTACTGGATTACCAATTAACAGACTCGGAGAAATTTAACGGAAGCTAACGGGTCCGTTAACATTTTTTTAAAGTTGAGCTAAAAGTTAATTGGTTAATGGAAATGTTAACTTCGATAATTAACGGATTAACGAGTTAATGCCCAGCTATGCAAATCAGGAATAGGTAAAAATCGAAAGATTATTGGATGAAATGTTATGCACATTATGTTTCACTGAAATTTTGGCGAATACTTGGGTTTTTAAAATAAAATGCAAATATTGTATGTACAGCTACTCAATTGGAAATGTTTTTTTAGATTAAATGACTCCATGAATAATTCGAATGAATACAATATACAAAAGTAAAATGTGCTATTCGGAGAAATTAACCTGAAAACTACTTATCATATCAACCTACAAAAGTAAATAAAATATTGGAAAACTTAACATATTGACTTAAACAAATGAAAAATGATGACGAAAAACAAAATGGGTACTTTAAAAAATTATTTTTATTTATCCTTGATATATTGATTCTCTCAAAAATTTCATAATTTCGAGCAAAATCAGAGAGATGTAAGTTTTTCAAATAAAAACGTTCTTACTGCTGATGATGATAACTGCAAAGATAATAGGTGCTATTTTGTAAAGTGGAGTGTGTCATAGTCAACTATTACCACCCTAAAAACATTCTGTGAAATTCTTTGCTCAAAATATGTAGAAGAATGGCCTTCTAGTTTGTTTCCAGGACACGTCAAGTTGTTGATGAAAAATGTAATACGAGTGTTGGGGTGAAAATAAAATTGCTGGAAAGTTCTCTTGATGTTTTTTGTAAATGGCAATATTATGTCGAATGCCCAGGGTCGTTCAGAAATATTAATTGTGCTTTAGGTTATTGGAATGATCTGAAATTCCCAACGAGATCTTTCAAATTATGTCAGATAGATAGACAGACATTTGTTCTCAATCGATACACAAAAATGCTTATGGTGGTCATTAAAAAAAATTAATCATTCATCAAATTTTGAAAATGGTTACATTTGCCAAAATGTGTTATATAAATGGTGATCATTTATACTTTATACTATATAACACATATCCTGCAAACTACTTTCACTTTGAGCCTGAATTTACCGTATGGTAATATATGAATATCATTTGGTAACAGATTGAAGTAACTGTTTCCTACTACCTCAGTATTGTTGATTTTATAACTAGGCTGAATTATAAATTCTTTCCTCTAATAGTATAAGTGTGGTTTGTGGTATGATTCGAAAAACTCACCTATATTTTTGTGTAAAGATTTTTTCGTATATTTTGCTGGAGTAGAGAGTGTACCGAATCTCAAATTTTGTTCTCTCGTTTGTTTAAACAAATGAATCAAAGAATTTGTATACAATTTTTCGAAACAAATGAAATAAAGTGTAACAAAGTGTGAAATAATTATTAAGTCTACTATGAGTAAAACAAGAATTTACGAGTAGTATAAGCGTTTCCAAATTAGATGCGAATACGTGGTATAAGCTTTTACAAGATGGCCGTGAATACGTTCAATATGACAAACGCCTCGGATGCCTCAGCACATCACCATTGATAAAAATATGGAAAAAGAAATAAATTGTTATGATCAGAGAAGACACTGATGATTTGCGTGAATCCATCGGAAAGTTAAACGCATTTGTGGGAAAAAAAGTCATGACATTTGTATCATGATAATGTACCTGTTCAAACTTCATTGCTTTGCGAATTTTTCGCCAATAAATACTGTAACGAATTAAGGAATTAACTGTCTTAATCAAATTTATTTTTAACAATATTTCACTATCACAACTAATTTATATACATCACTTAGTAACTAACGCTTAATTTATCTTCACAATTAGATTTCTTTCCTTAAACGCACGATTCGCTTTCTAAGTACAGACTACTCCTCGGGACGGAGAGCGACCTTTTTATACCGTCAACGAACGTTCCGGATCTCTCTGCGGATTTCGGGACCCATCCGGACCTTTCGCGTTGTTTCGCGATGCGTCATGCGTTTGCTGACTGGGACATCGGTCAGGGCCGGCTTCAGATTCATTACAATACTTTAACGATGTCCCAGTCTTCATTTTGACTAGACGTGGCTCCTGTCGACAATATTTTGCTCGAAATAAGGTTCTGGCTTCGAAAAATCTGAAAGTATCTGGAAATACAGTGGCCGACGAAGCTTGGAGACACATATGGGAATAGGACATGAATAACCAGTTTGCGATGAGCTTATTGAATCCGATAAAGAAAAGGGTAATGTCAGCATAAACAGGTAATCTTGAGGGGTTTTGAAAATTGTCAGTGCAGTATCGGAAACTGTTACAACAAATATGTATATGGTGCATGACAAACAAACGAAATACTGAAAGGATTGAGAAGAAAAATTATGTTTCAAATGTCTCAAGTAAGGACACGGGAAACGAGATTTTAGGAAGAGAACGTCAGTGAAAATTAAAACGTGAAACTGATAAAGAGCAGCTCAATCGAAAAAGTTCACATCCAGGATACTATGAGCAGATCGACAGCTGAAGGCCGACTGAAGCGAACGTTTTCGCTCCACCGTGGTTCGACCAAGACGCAAGAGATGCGCAGAGACTGAGTTTAGACTGCAAGACATTGACTTGTGAATACAAGGAATAGACAAGAAACCCATAAAAATATATTATAGAAATGACGACACTAAGCCGGAAAATATTGCACAGATATGGTACATTTGGGGTTATTTACAGCAATGATCGACTCAGGCGCTCAAGTCTCGTTACCGAGGGGAGAGCTCGCAAAGGGGTTTAGGATTAATGAAAGAACGAAATTTGATATTTGGTAAATAAACAAAATTTGATATGGTAGGTATTCAAGGAACAAGAATTTCAGATAATGAAGTGGCAAACTGGGTTATTGATTGAGAGGAGGCACAGAAAAATTAATGGTGGAAAAATAGAAAATTTGATAAATGAAGTATAAGAACTGGAAGAAGTTATGATGAACATGCGACACGTGGATTGTGGACAACCTACGATGCTACGTTCCTTTCAAAGATCAAGAATTCTGTTGTTCGGCAGGTTGGCAGCCTCTCGAGTAACAGAGATCAAAGACAGTACAGAGGAAAAAGAAACGGGAGAATGCATAGAAAAAGCAATAGTAGGAGAATGAGAGGCAGAAGAAATATTAGAGTATAGAAAGAAGCTAATGCTACAGCTTAGATGGTCGGTTTAGATAGCCTCCTGAGGAGAGCCTCTGATATGCTTCCTATGCTACTGTGAATAAAATTTAGTAAGCGATTATTCTGGTTCAAATATGGCATTATATTGCTTCATGCCAAACATTACAATGCATTTTTCATTGATTCATATTTAGAATCAGTTGCAATAAAATCAAAATATGGAGCATTAAAATCTCATATTATTGTGATAGGTTTGTTATGTGATTCATCCATGATAACGATACTATTGCAGCTTTTAACGCATTGATGTCAGTTTCCATTTCTGCAAGTCCAAGTGATAATATTTTGCTGTTGATTACCCGACAAAGGTTCGGAAAATTAGAGGAGTGAAAAAGCGTGCTGATCCCAGTGAAATCCGACAAAGGTTTCGAAAATGACAGGACAGAAAAGCGAGCTGAACCCAGTGGAAACTTGACAAAAGTCCCGAAAATATGAAGAGAGAAAGACAAGTAGGACCCTGTGAAAACTTGACGAAGGTCCCGAAAAATAAGAGAGAGAAAGCGAGCAAAACCCAGTGGAAACCCGACGAAAGTTCCGAAAATATAAGAGAGAGAAAGCGTGCAGCACCCAAAAGGTTCCGAAATAGTAGTATACACAAAGACACGTGAACGACTCACTGTTACGGAGATTACGTTAGGATCAGTGCTCAGTACAGCCCTGTACATTACCTTTTGTTATGAGTGTTGGGTGGGACAGCCCCGAACAACGCCTGACAAGTTGACATAAGAGGGTGATACATTCCTTTGTGTTGGAAATATTTTAAGTGAGGCAGTCTTGAACCATCGTAAACACAAGTAAATTCACTCCCTGTCGTCGTTTTTGATGTATCAGGTCGAGATTTCATTTTTTGCTGGCCTGTGGCGGGGCAGGAAGGTGTCGGCTAAGAGCTATTGTGCACCTATGCACGAAGTTTGACAAAAACATATGTGACCATGATCTGACTTCATCATTGCTACGAGGAGAGCTCACAATAAATGTCTCATATGATTGTGAACTGTTTAGGAATTCATAAAAAATAAGACAAGATGGTGAAAAAACGTATATTTTGTAAAGTAAGATTATACAGTTCAGGTCAAAAGGTTTTTCAGAAGATGAGTTTTTGATTTTTTTTAACATTTGTTTTCAAATTTATATTGGCAAATTTCAAAGTATAATAAATTCTTACCCTTGTGAAAAGAAAATAAATAATCCAAAGGAAAATTATCACGACGGTAAAAAATGTTGATTTTTGAAAAAATTGATTTGAGCTGGTTGCCTATGCAATCAGTGACATATAAATTGTGAAAATGATTAAGCAATGCTGTCTCTAGATGAATGATACTTTGTAAAAATTTATCTGGAGGCATATATAAACTTCCAAACTGTTTGGCTTCTGTATTTGTATGCCTTGAAATAACTATATACATTTGTTTTATTCAGTGTGGAACTAGCCGCCGCGCCGTGGCAAAATTTGTACATACTTCACATGAATGTTTTCTTAAACATTTTCTCAAAAGATATCCACAAACATAGCCCAAGCTATTGCCTTCGGGAGTGGCTAGAGTTCTATAATAATTTGTTTCTACTCTCAAAGGTTTATAAGGATTTTTTGGAACTTCTACAAGAATCTTCATTCTATTTATATCAGCATCTGTAATATTATATACAATCTCACTAGTATCTACTATACAGTTAGTTCCTTCTGCCTGTGTCAAACACTGAAGAGTAAATGTGTTTTTGAAAGCTCTGGTAACTTGAATAGAAGTTGGGTTTCTGGCATTTCCATAAGTATTTCTCAGTTGACCAAAATAATTTTCCACACAGTCCTGATTTATATTCCTCGTCAATATATAGGAGTGTCCTTCACTATGTATGTTTTCCCAAAGTTGCAGAAATGCCGAAATTGTTATCTGCCACGCCTCAATGAATCTCATTTGTCCAGTCGTGTTTTTCAATATTACCGTTAATTTGCTGAAAAATATCGTCATTTCTTTCAGAAAATCAATTTGTTTTGATGTTCTGAAAAAAGGTTTATTGAAATCATTGACATCGTCAAATCGATTTGAATTTAAAATATCAAATACTTTATCCATTTTTTCAATGAATGTAGCCGTCCCTATAGCTGCTGATGGTATCTGATTGAGATTGGCATAAGTATTCATCGCTGTAGCTACCAAATGACAGAAAACTTGACTGGCTAATTTAACCTTCATTCTTTGAAAGTTAGTTGGAAACAAATGGGAATCAGTAAGTTATAAAGTTGTTCAAGATGACTTTTGTTCGTTGTATATTCATCAAATTACAAAAAGTCATCAAAAGAATGGTTTCTGCTACGTTTCAGCAGATCAGGAGTATCAACAAATTTGAATATTTTTTTCTCATCAACAAAGAAATATGGCTGCTCTACAGTCACTTCGATATCTTTTCGGGCAAGTTTATAAAAGTTAGAATCTAAATCTGAAATGATACTCTTAATCTAATTTTTGATAATTGCCCAACAGCTTCAATCACAAAACTTTTTATATCCAGTATTGATGTAGATGAATTTGTAAAATAGTATGCAACAGTCTGTTTCCAGTTCGAATGTATGCCTTTTGCCATGACTACCAAGGCATATTCTGCTATAGAAGCCGTTTTCCTGTTCAATAATTCCTCAAAACCAACTATTCTATCCTTTCCTATATTGTAGAATAAGTGTGAGTTGATGCTCATTTCATCGAAACAAATGGTATTAAATATATTCATTCAGAATTTGATGAGAGACAAAAAAGGTAGTTTAGCAAACGTTTATTTCGTTTGGTTTTGTATCGTTTTTCTGAAATAACTTTGTTATATTATTGGGTTGGTTGTTGTGTATTCAATACACGAAGAATTATTATATAGCTATTAATATTTCAATTATTGGATTTACCTGACTAATACATACGGACACATTATAAAATTAATTTAAGACAAGTAGATGAGGCAAATTGTAAAATTAATTGATTTATATATACAGTGTATATATACAGTAGCGTCCCCGCTAAAAATTTTCACACCTTGATCTGCGAACTCGTGAAAAAAATTGAAAATTGCTCAGATCCGTCGATTTTTATTTCAAGGAGGAACACTTTCACCAAATACATCATCATTGTGTTGTCAGCATCCCCAGCACTCTCCTAATTCAGAATTTTCAATGGCACTACTATACTTGTGACACATCATTTTGAAGGGAATTCAATCCTAAATGAGGATCGATCAAGTATTATTGAAGTTTCAATGAAAACTAAGTTTTACCAAGATATTTTCATTTTTCATCGCCTAAAATGTTATCATCGTAAGAAAGGTCGCTATGGGTACTCCACTGTATTGAAAAATAATATGCTTTCAGAAATAATAGTTTAGAAGGTGACACAGACGTTTTCATAAAAAAAAATTGTCACCATGAAACAAGTTGGCATAGATTTTTTTGAAGAAAGGTGACTTATTGTACTTCAATATCTAAGATACCCACTTACCACAACCTTTTAGAATATCCCTGTAGCCACTCACCATATTCTTTTAGAATAATGCTTGGAATGTGTGGAATTATTGTTCACAACCTGCTATATTCGGAAAATTCTATAAATTAATAATGAATTTCCAGAGATGTATTTGAATTTTTTTGCAGTGAAAAAATGAACCAAGTTCCAAACCGTTTGTCATATCACATGGGGCGTAAACAATATTTACATGCTACTATGCTTTTGGTGGATGCCGTACACTTGGGAAAAGAAACCCTAGAAGGAGTAGAAAGCTTAAAAGAATTAAGTTTAGAATTGGAACAGAAAAAGGAGGTCAGTAAAGTACATGCACTCACTTCAGTCACATATTTGGAATCAAAATTCAGAATTTCCAAATTATTTCATAAGGAATAAATTACATGGGTATATGTGTGTTGCATGAAACCCAAACATGTTTATAGAGTCCAGAATTCGGGCTGGTAGGCCGTGGTCCCATGGAACTTGCAGTACCAAACGTACTGACTGAGTTAACTGTTACTGAAACTTCGAAATGCAACCATTGTTCTTACAATCAACACTCATACCACTGATAATGTCTACCGTAGTGTAGACAAAACGCTTGGTACTACAAGTTCCATTCGACCGTGTCCTACCAGCCCGAATTTTGTTCTCTCTAATTAAAAAAAGAAATATTTCACTTGGAAACAAGCTAAATTCAATATGGCGGATTTGCAAAGATGATAGACAATGCTTTTTATGGACCCGTGTACTATGGATATCAAATGATGGGGTTCAAGGGGATAGTTTGGTGGCGCTCGAATAAATGTATGGACCGACCATGCAATAATGAAGTGTCAAATAAAATGAATAGACTAGGGAACATGTTGAGCTATAACACAAATGAATTATCAAAACAAAAATTTTGAAGAAAGCTTTTATCCAAGCTTTTATTTTAAAATTTAAAGTTTAGTTTCTTCTTTTTATACCACCTTAATGAAAAATTGTTTTTAGAAATATTTTTCAGTATAAATGTATTTATCTACCTATTCAAAAGTACTTTTATATCATCCTTATTTTCAATTTCCAAAAATAATTTTTAATTTTACATTATTGATTACAGCAACTACACCTGCAACTTCTCTCAGAACTCAAACAGCAATTGTATACCAAACCATCCCAACATATTTTAGCATTGCGTAGACAGGGTTCTGGACGAGAAGGCTGGACAATTAATTCTCCTTTACAAAGAAGTCTAGAATTGAGGAGATCTGGAAGAAATAGTTCAGCGGGCTCAAGAAGTTTGTTCAATGTCTCAAGGTGAGCAAATATTTTAATACTGATTGACTTGACCAAATTACATACTCCTCATATGTATCAAAGTGTCATTGCACAAATTATATAACATATGAACCATGTCAATACTTTAAGTATTTATAAAATTACACTATAGAATACAAGAAAAATTAAAATTCACCTGAATGTATTGACACTTTTACTTTCAGTGGAAAAAATGGTACATTGGATTTTTCAGTTGAAGAAAACTTGGAAGTTTCAAATCCAGAGGATAATCATAGTAATTTTATTGCCGTTCTGGTGAAGAGCTTATGTATTTTGGAAAAATTGCCTTTTGCTATGAATGTGAGTATTTCAGACTTAAAAAAAACTTAATGAGGTCTTTGAAGTGTTCCATGAATTTTTCAAGGTACGGTAGATTTCATTAGGTCATAAGCCTNAAAAAAACTTAATGAGGTCTTTGAAGTGTTCCATGAATTTTTCAAGGTACAGTAGATTTCATTAGGTCATAAGCCTTAAATAAATGTGCACTGCAATCTCCACGATGTTGTTTCGAAAAACCTAAGCTTTTTATAGAGCATAATTTTGCAGCCTCAAAGCAAGTTTCAGATGTCTTGATGGCACCTACACAGAAGCAACAACTCTCACTCTTCATTTGTTCATTTTACTGAGGTCGTATCTCACTTGATAATCTCTTCAAATTACTCTCAATCAATTTCGCATATTTTTTATTCGAAACAACAACTTATCCAACTTTCTACACTTATCTCTTGCACCCTTTGTAAACCCAAACAATTCTATATTTTTGAGAAACACTCTGTGCAAGAAATTCAGTCAAATGAAAATATCTAGAATTTGACCTGTCACATATTTATTGGACACCCTGTATATTAGTAATTATTACTGAATCAAACCTTTCATTAATGTCTACAACTTTTTCAGAAAGTTCTTCACAGTTTTGATCGAGGACTTTTTCAATTAAATTTTCTTTAACTGAAAGAAATATATTTTTGTCACAAATTTTGTTGAAGTATCCATGAGGTACCTATCTAAGCAACCCATTATGGGAAATATGAATACATTTTTCTGATCTTCTCTTCAATTTAATTTAGGGATGATGTTTAGATTCTACCGACATTTCGTTCTTGTTTTTTTTCAGTTTTGCGGCAGTATAACTCTTCCATCATTATCAAACTTCATTATACTTTAAAATATTTTAGTTGTTAATGGCGGTTGTTGGACGTGAATATTGAACCTGGAACTATACGTAGCACATAAAATCCCCTTACATTACTATTATTAACGAAGATACAACTTAGTGGCTTTCTTGAACACAACAACCTTTTTTTTTGTGCTGATAAGTTCAACATCCCTCTATATAGATTTCTCCATGTGTGTCCACGAATATATTTTCCTATTTGTTTCTTATTGACTCATTTGGTGATCTGAACCCGTATCATAGATTTTGGCACCCCCAACGCTCGTTCAGGGCTCTTCATATATATATGAACGGATTTTCATGATGATCCGTGTTTGGCACACTCATCAGCTTTTTCATTGCTTGTGATTCCAGAGTATCCTGGCAAGTATAGCGTCGTCATATTCTTAGTTGCTAGGTTTATCAGTTCTGCACGACATTCCCAGACCAGTTTCAATGTCATTTTTATATTGATGTAAATTTTTCTGGCACAGTAAATTCTAGCTCACGTCTCATGTTTGGTTTTCGTTTTCAACTCATCTTTATACCAAGTGTTTATGCAGATCATGTTCTCGGTATCTGTTTATTCTACACTCTCGGCGATTTCTAACTTCAACCGCAAAGTTTGAAGTTCGTTCTTCCACATATTCCAAAATCTATATTTTGCCCGATCTCTTGTAATTGGGTGAATATTCAAGTCTGAATTGGCATTTTCTTTTCTCCCCCATATAACAAGATGTAAAGGGGTTGTCTTGAACTACAGAAAAGCAAGGTTTGAAAAAAATCTGATTTTTGATTAGGTAATTTATAATCATGAACCTGCCTCACACCCTTACATCTTGTAACTTTGAATTTCTTCAATGAAAAAATTATTTAATTTTCCCATATCGATGTCAGCAAATATGTTAAACATGGCTGAGCTTTGTGTTTTTTTCCCTTCCAAATTGACCCCAAACGGTTTATTCATCAAAATTGATTTTTCATTTGAAGTAAATAATATGATTGCTTTTTTTTAGGAAATAATACAAGAAATGCATTTTGAAATTTCACAAATCATTGAACGAACCACTAATTACGTCAAAAATGATTTTGATGGATTGGATGAAAGGCTAGTTTTAAAGGAGTTGATACAAATCATATTCGATCAGTTAAAGGCAACAGCTGACTATCAATATATGTTTTTGAAGTGTGTAGATAAGGCCAGTAAAGTGCATAATATCGAAATTGATTCATATGATATCAACATCTACTGGTCTCAAGTACAAGTGGTGGTAAGTGTTTCATTTTTTATTTTGTATGAACAAAATATTTTTTATTAGGTTTTGAATATCATCAGGTTTTGTGTATGAGACATTTCAACTGAAATTATCATCCAGTTTTCTAGACAACTACCTAACATTAACTGTTTTGTATTCAGACAATGTTTACTTACACTACTATATTTTATCAGCTGGTTCCAAACATTCAGATATCAGGTCTAATGTTGATATTACAATAAAATAGCATTGTCACCAATTTCAAAAATCTCTATGAAGCGAAGAAAAATGTAGGTCATAATATGCAATACCTCAATTTAGCCTCGGCTATTGTTGTAAGGTTTATCTTGTCATTGATCAGAAATCAACATAAATCAATAATTTGTAGAATTGCATTTACATTGCAAATGTCATAAAGATGAAAGTATACTTCTAGATTCCATTGAACTAGTACAGTATTAATTTCTTTGACTTTCTTCAGATTTTGACAAATATGTTCAATTTGAAAACGAAAATTTCCATAATCCATATTTTAGTGATATTAGTTTTATTTTGACATTGTTGAATGGCAAAGAAAGTATATCCAGCCACAAATCTCAGTTTATTTCTATAACAACTGCTGAACAACTGCTTGAAAACAAGCTTTCATTATATGATCTAAAAAGAAGAAAATAAGTTTTAAATTATTAACATCTATGGAATGCACCTTTTGTTTAGCGTGAATGGTTCTTTATCGTGAGAAGTTCGTTCTACTTGCTTGTATTTTATCGGTGTTTGGGTATCCTGTATATTTGGGTCTTGGGAAGATGACGTTGGGAGACAAGAATGAAATGTAGAAACTCGGTTTTAATTCAGAAAAGTATGGTGACTTTGTTGACACTTTGCACATGTCTACGGAGTGGAACAATTTTTCAGGGGGTGTTTATAATAATTGATACATCATTTTTGGGATTTAACTGAATTATATATATCGAGAGGGGAGTGAGATGAAAATTTAGGGTATTTGTGTATGAGATGATCTTATTTACAAACTCGCAACTGGGTTTTAAGGCCGTCGTAGTTTGGAACTGCATTGTAACGTTTCGCCACCACGAGTGGATGGCCAGCCACCAGTACTTTTCTAAATATGCTTTGCATATTTAGAAAAAATAGTAAAGTGGTAAAGAAATTCTATCAGTCTTTCTTATTCAGGAATTTCATTGAATACATGTTCAATTCAAAACGAGAAACCAAACCTGTATTTGATTTTTTCGAAAGCATGTTGAAAATGAAGAAATCCTATTGATCTGTGAATTTTTTTTTAAATATATCAGTCAACTTTCATAAATTAAGAAAGTCATATTCTGATCGCAAATTGTAAAAGGTTGTTCTAATTCAATATAATGAGCTGTCAATATCATTCTCTCATTCATATACCTTACTTTCAAAGCATTATAGGTCATAGGATAGTTTTAATATAGTGTCACTAGAGGGTTGTATGTCGATAATGTTAACGACGGGCTACTTAGAGATGAAATCAAATAGTTGAACTTTTCAATGTTGCTCAACTCAGTATCATTTTAAACTAGGGACTGAAATGTTTCAACAAACGTATTTGAAGCTTTTGGGGATTCATCAAATTTGAATAATCCTATTTTTTGAAATTTCACGTGACTTTGCATAACATGTGAATTACTACTCCGCCTTCGGCTCGGGTGACAAAATTTCGCGGGCGAGAATGCCGTACTTCTCTCCCTAGGTGCGTAATATACTAATTTTCTAATAAGATGAGGATAAATGACTAAAAATAAACAATTTTATTCTAGTGGAACGAAACGCCGAATAGCTGATAAATGCGCAGGCGAGCAAAAAATGGGTTGAATGTAAAAAACACATCCTGCCACAGCTCGAGGCGCGAGAAAAAATAATAAAAGAAACATTTTTGTTCTAATTATTGCAATACTGAAAATCTCCTTCACACTTCTCCTTCCTGTTGTGTCCCACACATTGTAATTTGGTTGGCAACCCGAGGCCGCATCCTTGTGGCGCCTTGGGAGCCGTTTCTTTCAAACTAGCATCTTTCATGCTTTTGTTGGTGTTTGCTCCACCCTGGATTCGGAACCGCATCCTTGTGGCTCGGTTACCTCCTTATTCGCTAGAGATACTTTTGAGTCTTCGACAACGTGGATTTCGTGAATACTAGTTGCCTCTCCAATTTGTCTTGACTGATGGTACGTGTAACGCCCGCCGGTGGTTCAGGTATAACTACCCCTGCCTTTGATCTTCCCGTTCGCTACTAGTTGCCATTTCGATCCCTAATCCGATTCTAATCCTCGGTCTCCTAGTTTTCTCTAACTAGATTTTGCTCCCCTTGACAGTTCCTGGTCTTTTCCCCCGATATGTTTATCGTCCACTAACGACTCAGGTTTAAGCTCTCTAGCTTCTGCTTGTTCTGAAACATTTCAACGTTTAACATCCGCCATTGAAAATAACTGCAGTATTCTCTGCTCGCACATTTCTCCCGCGTTTTTGGCCACTCCCTAGTCATTCTAAAATAGTTGTAAAAATGTTTACACTAAAAAAATCATGAATAACAGTTCTATTGTAGAAAATAAAGTCACTGATCATCCATTAACATGTCAACACACAAATGTCAATGTCAATGTCTATTCCCAATATAATCGAGCGTTCGTTAAATATATGTCACTCCATTGACTCTGTGATAACGTGGAATCAGATCTGCATCTGCTAGCTCGGTTTCAGATTTTCAGATGAACACGAATGAACACACCTAGAGAGTGGATTTTTCACATTCCCTACATTGAAATTTGCATTGGGTTTATAGAATATCAATCCGTTTGATGAATCAACTTCCTGGAATGTGGGAAAACAATTCTCCAGCAACTAACACATTGAATTTGAAATCTCTCAAAGAAATGGTTAAATATTTCAATTAGATGTTTCAGTCTTACCTGAAAATGTCCTTATACGACGAAACTGCAGTAACGTTAGTTACAAATAAAAGTGTTGAAAAACCTAGAAAGTTTCAATTCTCTTTTCTTTATTATGATTTCCTACCACGTAGTAACGGCTTCCATCAATTTATTAAAATATTAATGTTTTTCGGTAATATTCTAGCTTAAAAGGCAAAATTAAATTACATGTTGTGTCGGTTTTAATCTTTTTCCAAATTCAGAAATACATAAAAATTTAAATCAGACTAATTGTTACACTCAGTCATAATAAACAACTAACAATAACTGCTCCCAAAAACTAGAACTGAGTCTTCATGATGTTCTTCTTTCATCAGTTCAAATCAAGTCGATTGGTATAACACGCATGAAAAGTTATAGTTCTGGTGTAAGGAAGAAGTGTTTTTGTTGATTTAATTATATGCCAGAGGTTTCAGTATCTTTTTATAATATATTGATCATAAGCGGTTTCATGACTTTCATGTCTATGTTTGATGGGAGACTTGTCACCTTTTCGCGGTTTTCGAGGAACCACAGGAGCATTTAAGTTTTGTATCGCCTTTTTTGGTTTATTTAACCTTCTACAATCGGAAAAATATAAAAATTGTAATGGTGAACTTAATACAGAAGAAGAATGTTGGTGATTTACTGCGTTTTTGGAATGAAACACTTGTTTGTTGAAGAAAGACGTCGTATTCGTTTTGAGTTCAACTTGCTACATTTGAACAGCACACACTAGTTTTTGTCTGTGGAATGTGTAGGTGGCGTAAGTGGTACAGCTATATTTTGAACTACTACCAACAAAGAAAGCGACAAAAAAGATCCACAAAAAAATGTTTTTGTTCTATATAAATTTGATAATCGGTTCACCAGTTCTGGGTTTAATTTTCTATTCCATTACTTTTTCTGAATCTTCTGCGATATGTTTACACTTTCTGGGATACATTTATTACACTGACTCAATGATCAATATTTTTTAAATTTACAAATAATTATGGAGAACTGCCTTTTACATTAAAATATTACCAGTATCAATGATATTTCAGTTTATTTTTCAAGGAGAAAACAAACATCGTATGTATTACTCTGAATATTTTTACTTGTGTTTTCTCTTAACTACCTACTAATATGTTCATAGGAAACGACATACACTATTTAAATTTGAAGGATCATCAAGTGCCCTTAGTTTAAGTGATTCCCTAAAATCTACAAAGAAAGACAAGTTTCTAATTTGTCCTCCACATCCAAATAATCTACTAGTAGTTTTTATACCCTTCTTCTGTTTCATAGAAGAATTGGAACAAGCAATGAATATAGAAAACTATGGGTATGTTCCAAAATATTGTTGATGACACTTTTTCAACTCATATTGTTTTCAGAAGTAGCAATATATATCAATTTCTGACGAAACACGTTTCAAATGTCTTTTTGAAGCGAAAATCAGATGAAATTGTTGATCAAATTGAATCATGTACTAGAGCTGCAGATGCATGGAAAGCCACAATATTATTAGATCTCAGTGCTGACTACAAACCCCTGCTAGTGGTAAGTATTGAATGACAATTGGAATATTCAAAATATTATAAAAAAAATTTAACACAACCAAAAATAAAAAATGCAAAATATTGGAATATTTTCGTTACTCATCCAATAAAATTGACATTTTTCGCATTTGATTTTTTTAGATATAAAAGCGATAACTCAAAATCACTCTTTAGAACTTTAGGCCAATTAATCATTAAAAGAATATTTCGAAATTATTTCACTTTTCTGAGGATTGTTCAATTTTGTTTCATTTTTATTCCTTTTTCGGTGGTTTTAATATGTTAAAGTGTAAGTTGTCAGGAATAGTAGAGTATGTGAAACGGTTTTTCATTATATTTATCTATTCAGTGATTTCAAGTAACAGTTACCACTCGTGAAGTGAATGCAGAAACATTCCTTAAATGTGCCATCCGCAGTGGAAAATTTTCATGATAAACTCCAAATGTTTTAGCTTTCTTCCTAAGGCAGATTTCAGCTAAGAATTAAGACATATTCTTACTCGCCACATGACTAAATTTACTAGTTGTGAATATTTATTTTTCTTTCCTAAAGCGAAAATATTAGTCGATTTTCAAAGATCTACACCAAAAATATTCAAAAAATAATCTTGTTTTAATAAACTAGTTGAAATATTTGATGCACTTCAAACTTGTGAAAATTTCTTTCAGGTTTTTTACATAAAGCATACATATTTTTCATTTATAAATAATGTCGTGGTAATGACATTCATAGTTGTCAGATAATATTTTAATTTGCCAAAAAAGTTTATTTTTATTTTTCAGTTTGAGTGACATTGTTTAGTATCACACCTATGTGGATGCTTCAAGTTCGTGGTTTAAATTGTAATTTGATCAATAAATTTCCAAGATTAGAATCTTTATTCTGAGAGTTTTTGAAATTTAAATTTGGTTGGTGTGGAAATCTGAAATGGTGAAGTGTGGAAACACATCATTATCTTACAAGTTAATCATTTTGGTAGGTAAAGCTCGGACAGGTGGTATAAATTCAATAGATTTTTTTTAAAGGATGTACTTTTATATCAAAAATTGAAAGCTCATAATTTTCGAGTTCAACAATAATATGCCACATGTAATACTTCAAGTTATACCATACTGAAGATAAAAAAACGTTTATATTTCTCAACATTCATTTCATTAGGTCATTTTGCATTGAAAACCTGAGAATTACTGAGTAGTTAGTACGAGTATATTGCCAAACAAGAGTAGACTGTGAAACTTTTGAATTCCTTACTATTGATTGCATTAATAAATTAACTTGCTGTTTATCATATCGTTTTATGAATCTTAAATAATACCGTTCTGAAAAAATTTAATCTGAAAAAAAATTATTGGAGTATGACCATGCCTGAGCAAGCTATTGTATAGTGAAACACGTGAATACGTTACGTGTTACTTGAATACGTTATGAAATTGATTCAAGCATCGGCCAATTCCATCACATTGTTTTATTCTCAGTATAATAAAAACAAGCACCTTTCCTAATCACCAGAAATGCAATACTCTTCTTGAGATTTGGGGAAATCGATTGAAAGATGGAAATTTCTCAGGTGAAAAAGCTTAAAATTCAGTTTATTTTTGAAATCGATTTGAACATGAAATTTTCTTATTTGAGATGGTTCTAAATATAATCAATTCAGAGGAAGTTGATCAAAAGATAAGAATTTCTCAAGTAAAATATTTCGAAATGTCATCGAGAAGGAAAGAGAAGAGAAAGGGCTGGTAGACCATGGTCGAATGGAAGGAACCTGAAGTATCAAACGTTTCGTTTACTACTACGGCAGACATCATTAGTGGTTTATGTGTTGATTACGAAGAAGAACAACAACGACTGACTCAGACTGATGGAAATGAAACAAACTAATTCGAAATACTACCTTTGCGACTTGAGAAAATCTGGCTTATGTTTCTTCCTTTAAATTAATATTGACCAAAATCACACAGAATTTATTACAAATATCAAATGGTGTTTGAATGTTAGTTGTCCAGTAGTGAAAGTTACCGAATTTATTGAATAAGTGGTTAACATATGAGGTTGTTCATATGGTTTTTTGCTGGTTTTCAATAATATATTTTATTCATTATCATTTTGAATTTAATTCCTGGTACTCATCTATTACATATTTTGTGACATCCTCAAGAATAGGTTGACCGCTTATCAGTTCTCTCTCGATTTTCGGTCGGACAACATGAAAAAACTGCAAGAAAAATAGACTCGTTCTAGTGCATTATGAAAACTGATCTGAACAGTCATCTGAAAGTCCGAATAATATTACTCGTTAGGTGGTTGCAACCCCTATAACTGAAAGGGATTTACGGCTTGTGTGACGATAAGGACAAAAATCCAACCATATTCAAATTATTAACATTTTGGTGGCCCGAGCAGTATCATTTGACCATTAAGGTCTTTTGAGTGAGATCATTCGACCATTTCAGTCCTTGGTTCCGAATCAATCTACCATTTCTAACAAAAAACGAACCTTCAAAGTAGTCTTATTTTCTACTCTTCAACTTCCACATCCTGACCGGCATTAGCTGGGATAATTGTTGTTTTTCCATATTAGCCACATGTACCTACTAAATCTGGGTAGCTTGATCCTTCGAACCTGGTCATTCGACCTTTTTGGTCCATTTGATTCACAAATCATTCGATCATTTTGTTTCCTTCGATTCTTGGAATATTTGACCTATTGAATTTGGATGGTTGTCCTTCAGCTCTTTCCCTACATAATGCCTGTAGAGTCTCCAAGTTAGTTTCATTTTTGGCAAAGCAGTTTCCTAGGTCTGATAGTCTCTCCTTTATAGGTTTCACTTTTGTAGTTCTATAAAGCAGTGCGTTTGAGGGATTGTGTAATATGTTCTGAGGGTGACGCATTTTGATAATACTCCTTAGTGTAGATGTGTCAGCTGTTTGAAGATTGTTTAATGCAGGATTACAACTTGAATAGATTACATGTGTATATTCAAGAAGTGGACGACATATCATTTTATATATTTTAGCTGCAGTCTTAGTGTTGATTCCTCGTTTTTTAAATGTCAGACCCCGAAAGTGTTTCCCTCTATTGATGCATTTCTTTTTAATCATTTTTGTATGGCTGTTCAAGTTGATTGCGTTGATTTCGTTGTTGATGTTTATTGATGGTAGCGTCTCTGAAGGGTTGTGATGAAAAATGATGAATTGAGATTTTTCCGGGTTAATGATAACTATTTTACCATAGAAGAACACATTTTTCTGATGAATAATTAGTTTTTGTGGTTGACATTTGCAAAAAAATATGTACACAAATTCTGAAAAAACATTGTATCACAGGATAGTCACTCATTCTATCACTACATTTATCATGTATATTATTAATATCTTACCCATTTACTCCTGATTATAGGAAACAACTGATGTTTAAAGAATCAATATTACAAACTGTTATTTTTTTTGGATCAAATCATTTTGCTGCATTTATTAAAACATGACATAAAGAAAGAATGTATGCCTAAAACTCGTCTCCACAAGTCATGTCATGAAAATTCGTTAAACAATCAAATATATCACTGATATAAAAATTTTGTTTCAACAACAGTGTTGTTATAATAAGATATCTGAAAATAACTTCAGATAATATTCAAAAAAGGTTAGCAGATGTACTGTGTACAAAATATTCACCTTCATTGTTAATCAATTCCAGAGTACAGTAACTGTCGAAAGGTGCATAAGGGAGTGGAAAGTGGTATTGAATTCTCTACCACTTTATAGCGAGAGAATAGCCGAATACTCATGTAAAGCTTTGAAAGAATATAAAGATACCTGCAATGCTGCATACAGAGGAATAGTTCAACCACACTCTGAAGATAAATGGATATGTAGTGCAGCTTGGCTCAAAGATGATGATATTAGCAGATTCTTGAAGTAAGTGATGTTCCTCTTTCATTTCAGTAGAAACTAATTATTTAAATAAAATGGTTTCCAGCTTTCTATGAAGCATAAGTTAAAAATATTATAAGTTTATGTTCAATGTGTTATCATCATGATCAACAAGAATTGAGACACTTGTATATGGTACATTTCTGATGATTTAAAAAAAAATACCTGCTGGCAGTTATGAGAGTTTTTATAAATCGTGAACATATTTCTAAAAATAATAAGAAACAGAACCTTAACATAACAGAACTAAATATCTCACTTTATCATATATACAGTATCTAGCATAATGAAATGTTACGTAAATTCATTAATGAAAGATAATAATCTCTGGCGTCTTTTCCGAACACCAAGAACTGCAAGACTTTTCTCCACGCGCGTACCAAGGAGAAAAGTTCATCTCCTGAAGACGCCAAATTAGTGAAACACGCTTCAAAATTATTGCAATTCAGATGTTTGGGAAAAATACTTGTTTTAGCATAAATTCATTATCAGCTAAATAAATAGTATAATTGACGGTCGATTTTTTGTTGTGATTTACCATTATTTTAAATAATAATTCAATAACGGTTGACCTACCTTCCATTAATGACGTCATCATCGTTTTTTTTGTAATGGAACACCCTGTTTGTTTTTCAGTTTTCAAAGATATCTTGCTGAGTAGGTTCCAAAAATCTATCACAATTTGCATCAAATTGTTATGGGGTGGGCAAAAGTACAAGAGATGTTTTAAAAATTTAAATAGAAATTATTATGGCTAATTATAAATTTATACATTACTGTAATTTTTACAAAATAATGCATGAGGTATGCACATAATGAAAATTATTAAATGAAATTACCTCATTATGCAGATAATGGATACACTACCAAAGAAAATTCACAGTAAATATTCAAAATATATTTTGTAATAGAACAGTCACACAGATTTGCAGGTTTGTTAGTATTGACTGTAGATTTTAAACTAACCCATAAAAAGAAATCTGATAGACTTGAATTTTATTTAAAGTAATGATCTGATGTCCGAGAATCAGTATGGTTTATGCCCAAAGAAGTCGACCAACAGTGTCACCTTATCATTTTACAGAAAAGTATTAATTTTCTAGAAGCATGGATGTGCCTTGTTAAAATCTTCTGTAATTTCAGCAGGGTATTTGACTGTGTTCAGCATGATGGTGTTGCTTTGGATTGGATAATGTCTTTTGTTGGTAATCGTCAACAATATGTCAGTATTAAGACTAATGATAAACAGTCTAGAGTGGCAGACTCAAACAGCCTTGATATAAATGTGGGAGTTCCCCAAGGCTGAGTATTTGGCCCTATCCTGTTTCTTTTTAATATAAATGAAATCGACACTTTAGCCACATATGCACATTTTTTATTTACATGGATGATACAAATGTCAAACACAGCAGATGGTGTTATTACTGAGAATAGTGAACAATTATTGGGTAACATAACTTCATGGTGTAGTGCCAACTCACTTTTATTTATTGCTGAAAATACATAGGTTATGAAGTTCAGAAAAACATTTCCAATCTATCTGTAAAGCTGGATTTATAGTTTAAGTAACGCAACGTAAGACGTACCGTAACGTAATCGTTAACGCAAAAAAACAAATATTCGTTTCATAGATGACGCACCGCAACGCAAAACAGTAGCATCCGCATGCGCATTCACTCTGTCAAATCCTGTTGTGTGTCAAATACAGAGAGATTTGTTTTGANGATTTTTGGACTTGGATACTCAAGAAAAAAGTAATTTTATTTCATATATACAACAAACTGCCCCCGAGTCAAGTACCTGTCACAATTGAATAGTGAAAAGAGAAATGAAAATTTCTATGTTTTTTACCACTTTTAATTGTAACTAACGTTACTGCAGTTTCGTCTGAGTTTATTGTATTAGTTTGAAAATGTCCATATAGGACGAAACTGCAGTAACGTTAGTTACAATTAAAAGTGGTAAAAAACATAGAAATTTTCATTTCTATTTTCATTATGATCTCCTACCACGTAGTAACGGCTACATCCATCAACAATTGACTAGTCTATTGAACATCGAGGTCATCAAAATTGTCAGAACACATTTTAAAATCAGACAGTGAACATCAAGTTGAATGGAACAAGAGGAAAATGTTTGCCCATGAACCCCAGCGGAAACGTGAAAAAATAGTGTATATTCTAATATCTGGGGAGGAGTGTATTTTGAACAACTCCTTAGAAATGGATCGTACTTGAAGATAGTGGCAAAATAACAATAGACTTATACCAGAGAATACCTTGTACTACATCGAATGTTTCAGAAGTCAATCAATAACATTGATATATTCCACATTTCCAAATTTCTTCGATGTCTGTCGAGAAAGTTGACAAATAGAAAGATTCAGTGAAGAAAAAAACTGCTTATGTACTTAAATTTTGTCCAATTCTGAAAATGGAAGCAGATTTTAGCCTCCCAAAATGTTAAGTATTGTATTATTTCTTAGCTCTTTTATTCATAGGAAAAATTATTAAATACAATCTGATAAATAGAATGTTAGGAATCACACGTTAAAAGGTAAGACCTCGTTAATCCCTAGCTCGCACAAGTTTCGACTTCTGAGGGTTGTCGTTCGTAGGGGTGCAACAGCTGGTTAACGGAAAAACAGATTTTTTTCAACAGTAGATTTCTCTCTTCCAGTGGTATAAATTCATATAGTTATGGAAGAAATGGGTGATTCATTTCGAAATGTTATGATTAGGTGATAATATAAGAGTCTTCTCATGAAACTTTGAAGTACACCTTTGATAATGAGAGCTTTCCATGTATTATACGAGTATCATGTAGCGTTTCTATGAATGATATTGCTTTCAATTCCATAACCAATAATTGTAATACAAAATGAATGGTAATATATGATTTTCATGTAATTCAATGTTCATATTGAATTGTTTCGATATTTATTTTACTTACTACTTAACAATTGTAGGAGCTCCATTATCCCACCTAAAGTGGGTCGAAAGACCCACACCTTAAATCGGTACGACCAATCAGCCTTACATCTTTCCTGTTGAAAGGACTTGAGAGGATACTGGATGGACACATCAGGAATAACCCCTGAATAACCACCATTATGCTTATCAAACCGGCAAATCGACAGATTTAGCATTAAACAACTATGTAGAGAAAATCTCCTATTTCCTTGACAACAAGGAGATTGTGGTTGTTGTATTTCTCGATATTGAAGGAGCATTTGACAATGCACTATCTAAATCTATAGGATCATCTCTGCCTATGAAAGGTATAGAATCGACCATAACTGGCTGGATATATGCTATGCTGGTAAACACAACTGCAACTACGACTTTTCAAGGCGGAACCATTAGGTTCAGGGTCACCAGGGGCTGCCCTCAAAGTGGGTACTATGTCCCCTTCTGTAGTCGCTCTTGATGGATAGTCTGCTTGATGCCCTCGACAGAAGAAAAGTAGATCTGCAAGCTTATGCAGATGACCTTGTCATCTTGGCAAGGTCCACATCAGGAAGGGTAGCTTGTAATATCCTNACTCGGACTGTCGGAAGACAGTGTGTGTCGCCTCTGTTTAGAAAATGATAAAACAGAAGAGCACATACTTTGTGCCTGCACCGCTGGGGTCCGAATCAGGTTTTTAGAGTTCAGCAGAATCACACTCTTACCATCTGACTTGAAAGACCACTCACCATACAAACTAATCGGCTTCGTTAAGAAGTTGGGTTTATTTGGTCGAGTGTGAATAGGTGTGAGCCACAATAAACCCTTGCGGGTTGCGGTGGAAGGTCGAATAGACCCACCACTTTGAACCTAACCCCACCTGCCCTTTTGTGCACAATGAAAATTAAGTATTGCCAACTTCTATTTAACACACGCCCACCTTGAAATGAAAATTATTCTTTGTTTTCTGTGCATCTCTTTCTCATTATGGGCTGTCCCCGAACTATTTCAATTGATAGATTACATTTCTACTTTATCTAAATCCATGGTATTTCTAGCTATCTTAGAAACTATACATCCTTCGTACCTGTACAATAACTTTGATTCGTGTAGCTCCCAATGTGAATCCACGTAATATCTGAATCTTGTCAGTTGAATTTTTTCTTTCACTCCTGGTTCTCAATAGTATTGTTTCAGAAAATTCTGCTGTTTGTGGTGCTGGTTCGCTATGGTGTGGTGAACTGCTGGATCGATTTACAATATCAGTTTCTTATCCCAGTCTATATTGGTATATCTACCAAATATCATATCTTCCTTCACTTCATCTAGTGAAACAACCAATGAGGTGTTCAGATTATTAATATCCGGTTGGTTACTACGAATGTTCCCACTTGATATTGAACTGTGGGCAATTTCAAAAGCGGAGGCCATACTCCCCAGACCCGCTGGCTCATTTTGTTCCAGTGGTCCTCTACTTATGATCTGGTTAGTATGCCTTTTCCTATTCATTTCTGATCCTTGAAGTTTGCATATGTAAGTCAGTCTTCTAGTTTATTTTGTGACTACTGCTTTTTTCAGCCAGTCCATTCGATTGGGGATATAATATAGACGATGTGATATGTTTCACTTAATTTTTTGAAAGAAGATATTCCAGTTTCTTTGAAGTTAGGTATCTGCCGTTATCGGTGACTAATGTCACGAGTGATCCAAACCATGGATAACTAGGTAAATTTTCGGAATTCACTAAAAGCATCGAGTAAAGTCAAATACCTATTACTTTTGATATGCTCCGAATAGTCGGCGTGAACTCGGCTCCAAAGTATCTTTTATACCTTCCATGGTGTATATACTGCTTTCGGTGATTTAGATCCTTGTCTAGATTATGCCACCATAGGTAACTTCATGCTTAATATTTTGATTTTCCGATACCTGCGTGAAACACTTGCAAAATTGTCGGTCTTAAAGTATTTGAAATGATTACTAGGTAACCCCTTGGTAGGATATCGTCTCTACACGTTATTTTGTCTTTTTGTCTATAATACAACCGTAGTTTTTTTTCTATCTGTCTTCCATAACTCTATTCAACTCCTGGTCTTTAATAATTTCTTCACTCACTGCCTTTCTGTTATTGGCCATGGTGTGCTACTTTTTACAACATTCAGAATTTCTCCTTTTTTTTAATATCCACCCTATTTTTAGAGTGATCTGAAAAGATGGTACAAATCTGCTATATGAATGAATTATTTTTTTAAAGAATGTAATTATTTTCATAAACTACACCTTACAATTTGATCTTCACAAACTTTATTTTCAAAAGTATCGCGATAATAACATATTAAAAGTTGATTCTCTACTCTAATTTTCATATACCCCACAAAATCACAAGATACATTTGTTTCTCTAAGAAAACAACTTCAGTAATGGTGATCTANCCATCTGTGATACCTTTCAAGGTCGGTATTTACTAGTGTTTCGAGTTGTTTCAAGTCTTTACCCTTATATACAAGAACAGTATCATCTGCGAATTTAAAGTATCTACCTATAATGTTAGCAGTTTTCAATGACAGAACATGTAATGTATAGAGTAGGGGTCCAAGGACTGAGCCTTGGGGCACACCTGCTTTGGTAGTTTCAGTTTGGCTTGAAATGCCATCAACCATTGTGAATTGTTTGCGATCTAGAAGGTATGTTTTTAGTAAAGAGAGAGCATTTCCTCTTATTCCCATTTCTTCAATTTTTTCAAGTAATATAGAGAAATCAACAACATCAAATGCTTTTCGTAGATCAACAAATACAGCAATAGTGTAGTATTTATCATCCAGTGAAGAAGCAATGTGGTTAATGAAGTATATAATTGCACTCAGGGTGCTACTATTTTCTTGGAATCCATATTGGTAATTGTCAAAGGCAACACATTTTTTCATGTAATTGATAATACATTTCTTTAAAATAACTTCTGTTACTTTTGACAGAGTTTGAACTACTGAAATAGGTCTATAGTTATCAATAATGTTATTTGGTCCTGACTTGTGTATAGGTGTTACCTTGCTGACTTTGAGAATATACCTTGTTTGAAAGATTCTTTCATAACCAGCTGCTGCATTTTTATCCAACTTATATAATTCTTCCTGAACTTCTCGGGACTTTGTATTGTATAGGTACATTGAACAATCACTTATGATTTCCTCAAACTCAGTAGATAACACTGTTTGTAGGTTTACACTATTCATTATTGATTTACCAATATCAACGAAATATTTGTTCATTTTTTTCAGCTATATTTTTGGGATTATCAAGAATGTGTCCCTCAATTTCCAGATTAGTTATTTGATTACTTTGGTTATTGCCTTTAATAAGCTTATTGATGAGTTTCCATTGCTTTTTCTGGTTATTGTCTGTATTGCTCCATTCCAATTGAAATATATATTTCAATTTAAAATTCTATTATTATGTATAATGCTATATTATAAAACATGTATCTGTAACCTATGTTATGCATATAGCATTCTTGGGTCCAATGTGGATTTTTATCAGTCAATTAACGGGAGTTCTGCCGATTAACATTTCCGTTCATATCAAACGTTGTCTTGACTGAAAATAGAATGTATATCTATAATTTTTTACAACATATATTGGCAAAATTCAGTTCTCCGTTAACAATCGTCTTCACCATCTGGTCAATACTGAAGACTTTTCAATATTCAAATCATCAGATTGATCTGCACTGAAGAGTGCGGATATCCAGCTGCCGATGCCGTCAAAATTACGTCTTGTTGAATATTTTCTGGAACTATCGTCTACCTTGCTTTGGTGCATCCGTAATATGTCCCAATTCTTCATATTTTCACTTTTTTCAGATTATAGTTGTATATTGTAAAATGAGTCCATGATCTGGGGTGCACTTCATCAAATAATCTGCACACCAGTGATTGAGGTAACATTATATCGCTAACACCAATCATGATTGAAATTTTAAATGTAGGCATTGATACAATACAATACATCAATACAAATTTGAACTTTCTCGTTTTCAAAAGTTTTTAAAGAAGAAGAACAAAAAAACAAATAGTAAATAAAGTCGAGGGACAAAGATCATACAAAAAAGATACAATGATAATGTACTGCAAGTTTTCTCTAATATGTACCTTCATATCGTTTTTGTTTATCTATATTTGATCATAATCTTGTACATAACTTGTAATCCTGGTATTGTTGCCACCCTAAAACAAAGGCAACCAACCTTTGATACATTTTTGAATCATCACCGCAAGGTTACACTGAAAATGAGTTGGTGCTCATAAAAATGGGATGGTGCGATGCAGTTATTACTAGAAGATAACTCACCCTGTATATTAAATGATCATTTAAAAATAGTAAATATATCTATCTATGTATCAATATTTCACAGATCTTTGCCTAACTGGTTGAATCTGAAAGCCCAACAGGAGTTTCATGCTCGCAGTGAAAGGAGTAAAAGAACGTTGAAAAGAGGTCAACCATCTGAAGAAGAAAGTCCAGAGGATGTTCGGATGAGGAATAGAAGAGAAGCTGAGATTTTAGCAAGTAATCTTGGAGAAGGAGGTGTTTCAGCTGGAGAAATTCTTTCTGATATGAACTCACTCAGGGAATTAGCTCAGTTACAAGAGAGCATGGTAAGTTTCGAAGTAATAGTGTTACAACCATCTGATTAGATTTTGTTCACAACAGTAGCTATTAATAGGCCCAAAGTAAAATTTGACTCCTGTTGTAATTTAATTGATTTGTAAAATTATGTCACATTCAATTCATAACTGTTATTACTTTACAGTTCACAGCATTTGTATATATGAGTTCTAGTGAAAATTGAGTCCTTTATTGTTTTCCTTATCAAACATTCATTATCAGTGTATGCAATAGTCATAGATACATATTTTTATAGAGTTTGTATTGTTAATTTTTCTTCCTTTCTTTGGAAGTTTTCCACATTTTCTGTTTAATGGTGGAGAAATAGAATGCAAAAAAACATTATTTCAAAAAACCGATCTCTCTTAAAAATATTCCATTGTCTGGGATTAATCTAACCGTATGAATGTTTATACATACTGTCATCATGACAAGAGCAGATTTATCACTTCTGGTGATACAAAGTCGTAATGTTATGAGAGAAATAAATGCATTTTCTTGTAATGTTATCCAAAATGGTGCTGAGGAAGCTTCGAAGTACACCATGTAAGTGACATTTTATATCAATGCTTTTTCATATATCACATTATGTAGCGTACCTCTGAATGATATTTTTTCAATTCCATAGCGAATGTTTCTAGTGCAAACTTGATGGAGAAAGTGAATTTTCTATAATTCAATGTTCAAGTGAATGTAGTTGTTTCAAAAGGATTTTTTCTTTCATTTGATTATGTTTGTGTGAGAGTCAGGTTTTTTCTTTCAGTTTGTATGTGAAATAATCATCTGTGAATGCATTGCGTATATTTATAAAGAGTTTTTATTTCTTGTATAATGATGGAGAAGAAAAAAGCCAAAAAGCTGTTTTTCAATTTCAAATTTCTATCGAGTGAAGTATAAACCAAAAATCATAAAACAAGCCCATTAAAATTTTCTAAATTGATTCAGACGTCATTTGTCGTTACCTTATTCTGTCAAAATCAATTCAGTTATATTTGTTGACATATTGGTAAAATTGAGATCCTTGAATTCATATACCATCTGAACAAGGCATGTATGTATCAACATTTTATATCCTTTTTTTCAAGAGATTATTTGTGGCAATTTAAATTATCTCATGTTTATTGAACATTTTCAGTGAATAGTGCCAATCTATTTGATTGTTTATTGAGATGTTGAAGTATTATGCTGGTTCTATTTTTTGTAAAATGTGCCATTCTTGTATATTTCAATGTTACGTGAGTTCACACATATTTTATAGTATAATTTAACTGTAATGGGTTTTCCGTGAATATTTTTTTAAATATTGATCAAATGTATGAATTGGTGTTTTTTGTCTGATTTATGTATGTGTTGGTTTTTTACTGATACATGTATTTCTTATTTTCTGTGGAATTGATGTTTACAATGACTTTGATATGGTTTTAGGAATGGTTCTCTATCAGAATGTTTGAATTTGCTAGTGACTTTAGAACTGAACCATCAGGCCTCTCTCCACCGAAACAAGATATTAGCCATAATGAATCTTCCCCGCCAGTGTCTGCTGCTACCTTGCAACAGTTAACAAGTGTTGCCCAAGAATTTGATGAATTAGCAAACACGTGCCTTCTACTTCTTCATTTAGAGGTTCGAGTTCAGTGTTTTCACTACTTGTTAACCCAAACTCAAAGTAAAAAAGAAACTCATGAACCAGATCCCAAAGTGCTGGAGTTGAACAGAGTACTAGCTAGTGTTGATGAAGCTATAACATCAAGTTTACATCCAAGAAAATGCAAGGTACTTTGAATTTTTTTCTTAATCAATATCTGAATAGATATCAGACTTATAAGTGAAAATGATCAAAACTGAAAATGATCAAAAATGATTATCATATTTTCTCACAGACGACTATCTGGATTCATAGTTTGGTTGTGAAAAAAATATTTTTTCATAGCTTTCAAGCAATATTCATCAAGATATTCAATTGTATTACAAGGGTTGCCTTAATGTTTTTACAAACGAGCATTAAATGGCACTACTGAAATGCGGTAATGATAGTAAAATTAAATTTTTTATCGCTTTAGAATCAAGGGAAGCTTAGAAATTGACACAATAGTTGACATTGATTATTTTAAAAAAAGTATTCTGGGTTCCATGAAGTCATCCTTGGTCTTGCTTATGGTACATAAAATTATATGGTGATGTAGTTTTCTTTGTTTTAAAGTCTTCATTTGTTTTTGAATACATGAATACATATTTCATATATACAGTGATGTCAATTTTTATGTTTGAATATACACTTTCTCAGTAAAATTATTCAACAATCCCTTCAACTCCCTGGGGTAATAGCTATTCCTGTAAAAATTTTAAATAAAACACTCGCACAAGTTTCGACTTCTGAGGGTTGTTGTTCGTAGGGGTGCGACAGCTGGTTAACGGAAAAACAGATTTTAAACAGATTTTTTTTAAACAGAACATTTTTCTTTGTGAAGAATACTTAAGCAGTAACTTATAGGGGGAACTGAAAAGTTTACCCTTTCTACACATGTATAGAGTTTCCCATTACAATTTTCATATTTTTCAGATTGTGGAAGGTGAAAATAGCCAAAGAAAGTTGATGTAAACTGGTTCTCACAAAGAATGATTTTCGTTCAGTATTTGAATGAGGATGATCCCAATCGTAAATTAGAACTAGGGCTAGTTGGATATTCTACAGAATGTTTTAAATACCTGATTTATGACGTTTTCCTGATAATATTAACCCCACAGACATTAATAAAAACATATGGATTAGTTTTTGTTGGGCTACTCCAACTTATTTTAATGATTTAAAATACCTCAGAAATGTTGCAAAACGTCGAAAAAAATGTTTTTCAACGGTACCCATTATTTTTGCATATGATTTTGATTACATTTATCATAAATATTGTTAATAGCATTAAACTTTATTTCGTTCTGTGACATCTTTAATTATTGTACAAATTAAAAATTTATTTTTTTTTGTTACCAACGTTCGAAAATCAAAAAGTGCTAAATTACTGAATAAAGAATTGAAAGCATTTTCAAATGTGTTGTCACACGCTACCCCTTCTCATCATAATACCTGAGGAGGTGGCCTTTAATCAATATATTGTTGACACGTTACAGGGAAAAAATAATATACAATTTGAAAAACATTTTTCTGCATCATCCAAGTAGATAATTTATATGATTCAGACAATATGCCCCTCTGAAGCAAGATTTTTTTTCATATGCGCCATTGTTCATGGATGACCAATCCCAGAAACCGAATTAGCTTGAGCAAAATAGATGCCTAATGCACTCCAGTTCAGACTGTCATCAAGAAGAGTTCCTATAAATTTCAACTATTATTGACTCTTGAATATTCCACATTATCAGCAACGAAACTGATGTCTTTTATCCTATTTGGTCGTTTGTAAAAGAAATATTTTTCCATGAACAGTTTTGAGTATTTTCACTTTCCACAATATGGAATTATAAAAATTGAAGTAAAGAAATTCATACAAATGTTGAAATGACAATTTTTCCGATTATGGAAGGTAAAAATACTCAAAATGGTTAATGAAAAACCATGATTTTCTCCACAAATTTGACTTTCAAATAATATTTGTTTTTTCATGCATTGAAAAATAAATTGTGACCATTGAAAGTGAAATCTGGCCAACAGCAGAAATTCATTTACCTTTGAATGTTTTGTTGTCTGATACTTTAACCAAAACTGCCAGTAAATAAAATATCTGATTTTTTTAGTATATATTTGAAGGATTAGGACATTTGATAGCCAAAATTCTAATAAGTTCTGCCCAATATATGAGTGCCATAAATGAAGGAGGAATTCAACGAATGTGTAGAAACATATTTGCTCTTCAACAAACGTTAACTAATATCACCATGACTAGAGAGGTAGCACTGGACCATGCGAGACATTACTTTGAATTATTTTTTTTAACACCAGAGGTAAGTTTTTCAGTGCTATTGTCCTATTTTATCATTCAATTGGATGAACCAAGTTCAGTGTAGTTTTTGACAAAGTATATATAGGTAAGTAATTTTTCCAATTAGGAAACATATATTAAAAAAAAACAGAAAATAGCTTCGACACATATAAAATACTTTTCTCAATATATAAAAGATATTTTGAATAATAATCAGAACTTTCAACCGATTTTGTCTAAAAAATTAGAATTTTCAAGCTACCTCATTCATCAGAGTGACAACACTTATATAATTATATCTATCAATCCCGAATCAGAGTAACATCAACTTAAAATGTTTTTCTCTCCAGTTCGTATCTGAAAGAAACTTCTGTGTATGATCTACATATCTATTAAAATTTCAATAGTATTNAACAACGTTTATTTCTCTTCAAAAGGTTTAATTATGGGAAATCTGTTGAATCCTTTACCAAACCAATAAGAAAAAACCATGTAATTATTTTATCTCGATACTATTTTTATGGATATCATTATTGATTCTAGGAAATTCTGAATGGACTCGTTGATAAGGGACCTGAATTTTCAGAATTGGAGTATATGAATGCCTTTCAGCTACTAAACAGAAGTAAATCCGGAAATGAATCAGATTCGGTATCAGTTCATTTAGAAAGATTATCAGATATTCTTGGTGAGGTAGGTGTTACAGTATAGATTAATAAGTAACATGACAATATTATTCAATCAGTTTATTAAAAATTATAATTTATAACTAAATATAACTTGTTAATTTTTAGAATGTCTTTTATTTCAATATCTACCTATGTGGTTATAAAGAGTAATTGCTTATTTTCATCAGATTCTATCTATAACTCATCTTTTTGATTGAACAACTTTTCATTTTCTTGAAATGGTAATTTGTTCCAAAATTTTTGGTTACCCAATTCCGTTTGTTCCTCTGCATATATTTTATAAGGACTGGTCACATGTAATTGCCTCCAACGGTCAGATGTTTTCTTAGATAGAGGGATCCATTCAGAAGATATATTTGGTTTGCTGAAAATTCAAATGAAGCACAGGTTTATTGAATTGAAAATTGAATTGCCAATGTTCTGAAGATCATTTTACCTTCTCCCAGGTCAAAATATTTATGTGAATGTTTTACTCATTGATTCAATTATTCAAAAAATTATTGAAAAAACACGAAAAATTCTATCCTAAACCATAGTTTTGTGAATAAAAAATTATATACAGTGCTATTCAGAGTCGAGTCTGTGCACGAGAATCTCGAATGATATTGAAAGGTCGACTCTAGTCTTCATAGTTCATGAAATATACAGGAAAACCTAAAATTTCGGAATTATAGTTTTTGCTGTATATGCTTCATTTACAAAAATATTGGAAATATGCCTACACTTTGCCGTATCAACTTTCATTGGACCACGAGAATATGATCACAGAATTTTTATGCCGGGATTTCTCAGATTTAGGGCACCATCAACTTTGAAATTTTCATCATGGACCATTTTATGCATCAATTTGTTTATCGTTATTCGATAGTCTTGATAGTTTCTATTTCAGCTCACACGATGTTCAATTCGGAGTAATTCAGTCATCAGTCAATGAGCTGGTACCTAATAACCTTAAACCATAAATTAATTTTGCCATTCTAATTCAAAGCTATCCTAATTCAAAGCTCAACGTTCCCAAGATAAGTTGCATGTTTCAGACACCAATAATAAAAGTTCAATTTTTAGTTTCAAGGAAACTGGAGGAATAAACTTGTGTATCTTTTTGCTGATATTCGTTAGTCTGATATATTTTACGGAAAAATTTCTCAGAAATTTTGTATAAGTTTCAAATTAGGAAAGATATAGGACGAAATCAGCATCAGTCCATCTCCTTAGTGAGTTCTTCTTGTGAGTTCGTTACTAGTGAATAACAATCCATTGTTCATCACAAGTTCTAGGTACTTAACATTAATTTTTGTCTCAGTTATCCTCTCATCAATTATTATGACCGGTGGCCGCTCATCCCTTCTGACTGTTATGTACACCCATTCGGTATTCATGTCGTTATATCCTAGCCATATCACTCTTTTCAATGCTTTGCACTCACCACAACATTGTCGACAGAGTTCCCTTCGATGATGAGCAGCTGGTAGTCCGTTTAGGTCTGGACTCCATGTGTCCTAATACCTTGCCTGACTCATATTCTCGATTAGATCAAACCATGCCTTCATTACTATCAAATATAATATCAGCCCTATGGGACCCATGAATCATCGTCGGAGACTGGTCCGCATTTTATGTCTCTCATTCACTTCATGCTTTTCTCCATTCCTGGTGCCAAGCGATGATAATGGCGTTAGTCAGGTCAAACGCCACGACCCAGCTGTGTCTTCTCTCTCTCTCTCTCTCTCTCTACCACTCTTATTTTTTTATTCCGTTCACCATTTTCTCTACTGCCATTATAGTGTCCATTACCGCCCTAAAATCATATTGGTTGTATGAGAATTCCAACTTCCTTTCATGCCAGACTTGTACTCTGACATGGAGAACGCTGTCTATGCTGGTCAGTAGACTTCCAACCTTCCTTGGTGTCCAAAACAACCTTGGTCTGCTTCCACACCGCATACAGGCATTGAATAGTTTCAGTACTCTTCCCTTCGTTCAATAACCCTCAGAACAACTTGTTGACTTCACCTCCTCTTCAGTCGCTTTTTCGTCAATAAGCCGGTCCACTATCACTCGCAGTTCCCCGGTGGTGAAAGGCGACTGTTACTCACTCCACTCCTCTTGTTCTCCTATTCTGACCCAATGGCTAGCAGGACTGTCACTAGGAGATCATTCTCGGGAAAGTTCTTTCTCACCAGCTTAACTCTGCAATAATCTTTCGTGGGGACTCTTGTTTATCTTTGAAATTTCTGTAGGTCCCATAGTTGGTGACTTCTCAAGGTGAGTTGCCCATACTTGACTATACTCAGACTTTGAAATTAATTGAGTCTAATAAGGAATTTTCCCAGCATCAGTGATAATGAAACAGTAATGGCAGGTCAAAACAGCACTGACTGCTGTTTGATCTCGAATGCTTTCAACCATTGAATTTCTCCAAAATAAAAGATACCAGCAATATCAGATACACAGATTAATTTCTTCAGTATCTTCGAAACTGAGAATTTATCATCTGAACTTTCATTATTGGTTTCTGGAATATGTAATAAACTTATGAAAATTGTATGCCATGGGAAAACCTAAATGGAAATATAAGAGGTTTGTGATATCAACACATTTCAGGTAATTGGTGAAGTTTTTAAGAATAATTGCTTTCTTTTGATCAATTTTATCTGAACGACTATCTCTGCAAGAATAAAGATACAGCAAAAAATTAAAATTCGAAATTTTTCGGTATTTCTGGTATATAACCAGGAACAAAAAACTAGCGTCGATTTTTCGATAGCATTCATTAACATCCGAAAATTGGATTTCATATATCTTCTCAGTTCTTCAGCTCTTGATCCTGTTAACAAATGTAGGAGACCAAGTGATACAGTCAGGAAGCGATTTAGTTGCCTCCTCAGGAGCCTAATAACTCACGAATCTACTTTGAATCAAATTCTCTGGCAGCATTAAGAGAGAAAAATTTTTCTCTGCACAGGTCTGGAATTACTTATAGTCAAATAATAATGATTCGCCCAAATCGGAGGCGACAAAGCTCTTCGTGGTTGAATCTAATGTATCGTCAAGCATAGCTGACTTACAAATACCTTCTTATGGGAAGGATGCACCTTGATCAGCCGAATAATCAACTTGAATCTCTTCAGCGTGCCATCAAAGCTACCATGGAGCATATTCCAGAAGATGGGCCACAGGTAGGATTCCAAACCTACACATTTCGGCCTGAATAGCTACAAGTAACCCGAGAGACTCAAGTGAGCCTCTCCCGGCTGCCATGGAAGCGCCCTTTTCTCTCGTTTGATACTCACCTACGCTAATTGACAACCGATCAGGTCCTGACTTGAGTAAGGAAAATTTTCCAATGATTATTGGGAACAATTCTAAATGTCAGTGAGACATTGAATTTACTATATACCAACTTATCTAAAGACCAATCTGAGTTGTTCACTAAACCTCAGTAGGTAATGATTATGTAGTTATTGGAATATTTAGGAAGATTAAGTGTATAAGTTTACTCACCCAGTTTTCATGAAAGACGTAAACATATCAACCATAATATTGCTCATCATTCGATCATCTTCATTTGATAATGTGTCCAAATTGGTTTTGAGGATATAGCTAGTATCATCCCCATGGGATGTTCCTAAAATCACAGATTTCAATTTGATACTGCTTCTTATTCATAAAAAGCGAAGAACCACATTACTGTCCAATGGTAAATTGCAGAAAATATCGAGACATATAGTTATACTATATTGTGAGATTTTCATTGTTGCACAAAAGTGCAACATGTTTTTCGCTATACAGTAACTTCCTCAAGCAAGTATGAAAACGGTTCGGGAAGTCCAATGAAAATCTATCAATGAAGTGTTACTCAAATAAATTATGAATTTTCACCGAATATCGGCCAGTTCCATCACATGTTAAAAAAGTGTTTAAATTGCCATAAATAAATATTATGAAGTAAAATTCAGTAATCCTGCTCCAATAAACGAAATTCTGTATAATAAGACGAATAATGGAAATTATGAAATTGAATATATAACCATATATGAAAATAAGATTGAAGATCTACAAGATATTTGTGAATGTTTCAACAATTATTTTGTTACTTTTGGTACAAATGTATCCTGTAGTATTCCTACCCAAAATGGTCCTGCAGTTCAAAATTATCATCCGTGTATCTTAAGCCTACCGAACCAAAATAGAAGAAGAAATGATTAGTATGTTAGATTCAAGAAAAGCTCCAGGATTGGACAGAATTATCACTAAAATTGTTAAAAAAGTTAGCGCCACAGATAAGTAAACTGATAATTTTTNGTTTGTTGCCATTTCGCCACTATCCAAAGTTTTCTTCAAGATGGGTAGCCAAGTACGGTCTATTTCTTAGGAGCTATTCGAGATACAATTCTCTCCAGACATGAGAATATACGCTGATTCTTTTAGCTTACGTCTCTTAGAATGAGGCTCATTGGTAATCTTTCTTGTCTTATTCCATTCCATCCGATGTTCACCGTCTGATTTTAAAATGTGTTCTGATAATTTTTTTCAGATTGTGGAAGGTAACAATTACCCAAAAAAGTTCGATCAAGGCAACATATTTCTTCTTAAAAGAAAGTAAAAATATCAAAAATAAAATTATAAAGTGTATATTGGAGTTAAACTTCAAGGAGCTTGCAATCAACGAGTATGAATTATAAAACTATTAGATTTTCAAATTATGTAGCTCTATTAATTCCTCAAAAAAAAACAAACAATCAAATCTGACTTTCCAGAATTAATAGTGACTAACAAAACCTTTCTACAAGATATTCAGGCAATCTAAAAGTAATGAAATTGAAATCAAATATTGGATAAAATTGGATAAGTGTCAAGTTTTACAAAAAGCTATCAAATGCTTTAGAAAATTAAAAAAATATAAGAATACAAAAAGATATTAATTGCTTCTTTTGATAAAATTAAATTTGGAATTTCAATTCCATTGCCGTCGCAGAGGGTTACTTGATTGATATTTATGGTGAAAATCACTGTATGCCACTGTTTTTGCTAAGTTTAATACTGCTTGTTTGAAATATCTAAATATCGAATCTGAGAGTCAGTGGCGTTGAATGGGAGTGTTAAATATAACAAGTAATCACAACCAGAAATTATTGACATCGGGTGCGAGTGCATGCGTGCGGGTATGCGCGTGAATGCGTGCGCGCGCTTGTGTGCGTGTGCGCGTATTGGATTCAAATTGTTATAGACTACATTCCCTTAGAAAAATTGTGTCTAAAAACTCATTCTTAAAGGATCTCGCTCTTTTGATGAAGGATACCTTAAATACAGTAGTTCAAGATCTCTCAAACATATCTTTAAAGTGATGAGCAGCTACAGTTTACCGCATTCTTCCGACATCATTTGACTTGAGTATGCACGTTAATACGGATACTCCCATCTCTCGATTTTCTGCATCCTGCATCGACTATGTCTGTAGCAATATTGACAAGCAAAATGTTTCATGCACAGTTATTCCATCCGGATTATCTAATCATGAAGCAGTGATATGTTCTATTCTGTTAAAATCAACAAAAAAACAAACCATACATAAGTATGGTAGATTGTTCAGTCGTTCAAACTATGATAGGTTCTATCAAAACTGCCTTGAAATAGACTGGGTGAGCATACTCTCTGAATGTGACCCCTTTTTATCATTCCACAGTGCATTGTCTGATGTGTTCAATAAGTCGTTTCCAGAACAAATAATTAAAAATAAATGTAAAAAGCCATGGGTGACAAAAGGACTGAAAACATCCTCTAGAAACCTGCGCT